GGTCCAATGATCCGAAAGAGAGTGGAGGCTGATCAACCCTGCTTTTAAAGATGGGTTATCTAGTGGGTCACCGTCCAAGTCCATGAGTGATTTGGAAACATCGTCGGGCATCAATAATAATGAGGAAGAGGAACTGTGACTTACAACGATGACCACGTGTATACTTTTCATCACAATTATAGCAAAGGTTCTTCTCATGACGGACCTACATTTCAGCTTCAGTGAGGTGTTTGATGGGCAGTTTAGAGGGAGGTAGGTGAGGAAGGTGTGGGAATTAGTGGTGGGAGTGATTTGGGAAATTTGTGGAAGGGCAGAGGAGTTGAAGAAAGTTTAGAATTGTCATCGTGTAAATTGGCGAACGCCATAGCTTGTGGCAAGTCGGTGGGCTGGAGGGCGGTGACCTCATGTCGGAGGTAGGATTTAAGGCCGGAGATGAAATGGCTAAGGTAGAAGTTGGTTGGGTATCATGAGATGCGGTTGGCAATCGACTTGAACTCGGAGAAGAGTTTGAGTGAGGCGGCAGAGTTCAGCGATCGGATCGTCAAACTTGGATGGTGCAAATCTCAGTCGAAGGCACGAAGGAAGATAGTCTAAGAGGTGAGAAGGTTATTATTATGCATCCATTGGTATCAAGCGAGTGCAAGTCCCTCCAAATAGAAGGAAGCAATATGGGCTCGCTACTCCGGTGGTGTAGTGTGAAAATAAAAAAACTGAGTGATCTTAAAATTCTAATCCAGTGTGGCATCACCGTTGAAAGAAGGGAGGTGCGAGTGACTATGTCATATAATGTGTTTGAGAAATTGGCCTGGGAAAGAAAGATTTGCTCAAGTTTTTTGTCAAGAGAAAAAAAGGTGTCAGAAGGGTCAGCCATGGAAGGAAGAGGCTCAATGAAAACACTAATGAAAGGACAACACAGTAAACAGAAAGGGATAATCAGAAGGAATGAGAATAACATAGGGGAATTTTGCCAAAAATTATTTCCCCCTTTCTTAATCATTAGTTGTGCTTATATAGCACCATACATGCAATGTGCAAAATAGTGCAAATAAGAAAAGAAAATAAAGTTTGTTAGACATGATCCCTATTACTTAACTAAATTCTACCAATATTGTCATGTAATCATTCGGTTACATAATCCTTGAGGTAAATAGGTCTCCTTAGAATTCGTTGGGATCTTGCATCATGTTCGATTTCCTCTTGAATATTCTCTAGTCTTAGTTGTTCCACCATAATGGGTTTGTTATTAGAAGTGGGTCTAACAACCAACAATAGATTTATAACACAATAACATCATATTCTCACAAATGAAGTATATGATAACAGAATTTCTTAAAAAAATGATTTTTATTGATTCTCTGTCAACCGTTAATGAAGAATATAATGGTATATTTATATATTGTCACAAAATCTTAATTTTATCTTTCTAAAATCAAATAATAATCATCTAAGATATCATCAATATCAAAATGTATCAATAAAATTCTAAATAGAGTATTTGAAGAAGACATATACTTGGAGCAATTACAAGACTTTATAAGAAAAGGAAATATAGCCAAAGTGTTAAGGCTACAAAAAATACTATATGACTTAAATCAAACTCTTTAAACATAGTATAACAAAATTGATTAGTACTTTTGATCAAGGATTCAAGAGGATTAAGAGTAAGTCAACATACATTAAGACTTAAGGTCAATATCATACTCTTATTGTATAAGAAACAATATAAAGATGATAAAGGAATTCAAAGAAGATATGATGAAATTATTAAAGAAGTTCAAGATGTGCGGTTGCAAATTTATGACTATTTTACTCATGAAAAATGAGAAACTACAGAAGGACGATGTAGAACCAAAAGTTTATGCATCCTCCTACATGAATATAATTGGTAGTTTATTATATCTTATAGTTACACAACCAACTACCATACATGTTACAAGCCTTTTGTCTAGGTTCATACAAAGACCAAGTCAAATTCATTTTTGAGTAGTAAAAAGAATTTTATTAAGATATCTATAAGGTATAAAAGAGTTTGGTATATGATACAAAATCATAAGAGACTCAAAGTTGATTAGCTACACTAATAATAATTAGACAAGATCAATAGATTACATGAAGTGTGTTCCAGTATATGTTTTTTCACTTTAATACTACGTCATAAAAGATCAACTTGTAGACATATTTACCAAGTTATAGTAAAAAGTCAAATTAAAATAATTATAAAGATTTACATCAAAAATAAGTGTTAAAAGATAATAAAAATTTATAGAATAATCTATAATATATATATATATATAATAAAAGAAAAATACAAGAAAATTATATATAAGATAATAAGAAATATATGAAAATAAAAAATAACTCTAAAGTTTGTCTTAATTTTAAAATTAGGAATTTTTTAGAATATTGTAAATTAATGATTGATAAGTTTATAAATAAGTAGTGTCAATAGCATCTCTTCCACATTGATTTCTTAACTATATTTTTTTCTATCTTTCTCGCTGTTAAACAATAAAAAATCTTCATTGTTTTCCTAAAATACTAATAATATGCATGTGCTTATTAGTTACTATTATCTACGGGTCTACTGAACGAGGACAATTTTTTTAAATTTACTCAAACGGATAAATTTTAAAAAAATTATGGATTGAGCTAATTCATGTTATTAAATACGACTTTACATGAATAAATAGTACTTAACAATATTTATGTTTTATTTTTTAAAATAAAATAAATTTATATGGAAGTTTAGATATTATGAATTCTAATTTTATATTATAATAATTATTATAATTAATAATAATATATTTTATATTATTAATAATAAATTAAATAATAATGATAACAATTTCATTTATATTATTATTAAAATTATTATTTATTTTATTATTTAAATTAATATTATATTATTAATAATAATAATAAAACAAAATAATATTATTAAAAATAATATAATTATAACAATTAATATTATTTCAATTTTATTACTAATAATAAAATAAATTAATATATAAATTTATATCATATAATTATAATAATTATTATAATATAAAATTAAAATGAATGTGCAATACTACTTCTATATAAATTTATATATTACTAAGCACGATTTTTGTTTTCATTTAAAAAATAAATTAATTAATTAATTAAGATACTACTTATTCGAATAGAGTTTGGTAACACGATTAAACCAAATTTATAATTTTTTAAAAATTTACCCATTTTGATAAATTTGAAAAAAAATTACCCCTATTTACTAAAAAAACCCATTATCGTATGAAGAATGTTTGACCTTGGATTTAATTGTAGTCGCGGAAAAATATGGGAGTGAAGATAGAAAATTTGATGTTGCATTAGATTTTTTAACCACAAAAACTCGTTGGATTTAGAATTTTAGTTACCGTGTTTCTTATCAAATTCATATGAAAGAGGGATGAAAATAATTTTTTTTAATTATGAGAAGTTATTTAATTTCATAAATAAATGGAAGAGAGCATTGTTAAATATCATTCACCACCTTCCTTTTAGGAATAAAAAATATTCTAAAATGCTACTTCCAGCAAAATTGTTTATAAAGCTAAACATGTTTTCTTTTTAACCTAAGCTAAACACTGAAAATCCCAATATCTGGCCTTCTATGTATATGATTTCATGGAGACTAGAAATATTTTTGGTCTATGAGAGATAATATTTGATTTGATAAAAACTATATAACGAAGGATCCAGTGAATCAGTGATGACTTATAATACAAGTTCCTATCATCTTTGATTGTAACTTTAATTAAGTATCCTTTTTTATTGTAACTTTTATATTAATCATTTTCTACCCTCAATATATTTTGCAAATTTCATCACTTATGCTACATTGCATTTTCTTTTCATTTTGAATACGTAAATTGGTATTTGAAGTTTCAAAAAAAAAATTATATATATGTGTAAAAAATAGAATCAGTCATATAATTTAATTTTAAACGTCGAATAGGTTGCATATAAAAATTTAAGAACGATTACACGGTATAATTGATAAACAGAATATTTGTTTTAATATATTATTTATTATTTTTCAATTATTTAAAAAAATGACTTGATGTATATTAAGTATTTTCCTAGGAAAACACTTTTATTTCCTTAACCTAATAATAGAGGTTGGTGATTTGATTATCGGATGTGTGAAAAAGAGAGACTGAGAGATAGAATTTTGGGTTCGTATATATGAAAAAATACATAAAATGTAATGTGATTTAAAATGAAAATCAAATGGGTTTGTTTATATTCACGTTAATACTCAATATTGATTCTAAATTATTTATAATCAATTTATATATATATATATATATATATATATATATATATATATATATTAATAGTTACAAATAATATTAGTATTAATAAATAAAATTTTTAATAACAATTTTTTTTTATATAGTTTTCTCATTCGAATAACTTTTATCCTGATTCTTCTTTTTTTCTATTTCTTTATCTGAACATCTAATGAGATATGTTAATAAAAATTATTTAAAAATAAATATTTTATTATAAATTTTATATATGAGTGATTTAAAATCAAAGAAAATTATTTAAAAAAAATATTTATATAAATAACTTTAACTAAGTTTTAAGTTATTTATATATATATATATATATATATATATATATATATATATATATATATATATGATAATCGTAATAAGATATTTATACTTATCCTTAAATATTTCTTACTTCAGATTTAAGTAACATTTTTTTAAAAGAGTGTCTTTTCCTTCCATCAGCTTGATGAAATGTATATAATCTAGTCAGCACCTTTTAAAAGTAACATTTTTTAAAAAAGATTACCTTTTCCTTCAATCAGTTTGATTTGATTGGACGATGCATAATTGAGATAAATTTTGAAAAGAAATTGTTTTTCAAAAATAAAGAAACTGGCAAAGTTGAAAAAGTTAGAACGAAATAAAGCATCCATTCGAAGAAGATTTTGGCTTAGGTGTTCTGGGATTGCAACCATGGCTGCAACAGAAACTCCATCAAATGTGCATGCTGACAGAGTTCCCCTCAAAGTTTTGGTGGACAAAAGAAAACACAAAGTTCTCTTTGCTGAGGCAGGAAAGGATTTCGTGGACATTCTGCTGAGTTTCTTGACATTGCCTTTAGGGACTATTGCAAGACTGGCTGCTAAGGAGTCAAATATTCAACCAGTGAAAGTTGGTAGCCTTAGTTCATTGTATGAAAGTGTGTCACACCTTGAAGAAGAGCATCTATGGACAGGGATGTGCAAGGAAATGCTGCTGCGCCCAAGAAGCTCTATGGAATCTTACTGCCAATGCCTGAAAATCAACATCGACGACACTGGCAGTGACCCCGCTATGTATTTCCTGTGTAAGGAATTGGAGTGTTGTAGAAAGAAAAGTGGGAGCCTTTTAAGCATTTTCAGCAATCAAAGATGCAGTTGCGGAGAACTAATGAACAGAGCAGTTACCCCAGAAAATATTACTCTAGAAAATGGCTTTGTTAAGGAAACTGCTACTTTTATAATTTGTGATGATCTTTCTGTGTTGCCTAATGTTCTTGTAACAGGCGTGAATCTGCTCCAGAAGCTTGGAATTAAAGACATGGATGTTATTGAGGAACAAACTGTAGATATCAGTAAAAGGGAGGTATGCTATACATATCAACTAGAATTTTTATTTTTATTTTTTCTCTTAATTTATTGTTGTTAGTTTCATTATTTTCTCTCTCATTCGATCTTTGTCTTTTGTATAGGTTGTTGATCTTCTCAAGTTGTCTTTGCTATCAAAGAACTCTTTGACAGATTTTATCTTTAAGAAGAAACCATGTGTTGGTGATTTGAACCCAACAAACCAATCCTGGCTTGAGAGAGGAGAAGAATCATCTGATGGAAGTAGAAGGATGGTTGTGAGGGCACTAGTAAGAAAATCAAATAAAACAGTTCTGTTTGCTGAGGCAGAAGAAGATTTTGCAGACTTGCTTTTCAGTTTTCTAACTTTACCTTTGGGTGGAGTATTGCACATGTTGGAAGGAAATTCTTCTTTAGGCTGCATGGATCAATTACACAAGAGCATTTCTGAACTTAGTCCAGATAGATATTTAAGGTCGCAGAGACTCAAAGAAGAACTAGTTAATCCCAAGTGTGCCCCTCAATTCACCATCAGTGATCAGATATTACCATTTAGCGAGGTGTCCTTGCCAGTTTACTATTGCAATACTTTCTTTGATTGCCATAAGTACAATTTGACTCTTACTACTTCAACCAGACCTATCTGTTATTCATATGACAAGAATGTTCCATTGGAGATTTTAGATCCAAAGTCCCCTATTGGGGATTCACGGAGTGGTAAAGGCTTTGCCAAAGGACCATCAATGTTCATGGTGACAGATGACTTGGTTGTGACTCCATTGTCATCTATTTCTGCTGTTTCTTATCTAAATAGAAGATTACAAGTCCCCCTCTCGGACTTGGAGGAAAGGATAATCCACGTTGGTGTGAAGGAGGTAAAATAAATGTTTTATCATGCTGAGTTATTCATCACATATTATTAGTTGAATCAGATTTCAATATTCATATTTCTTGATTTTCATGGTGCAGGGATTGGCCATACTAAAAGCTTCCTTGACCTCAACATCTGCTCTAACAATCCTTCTGGAACAATTCACAAGAAGTATTTAGGTGGAGATTTGACCAATTATTTCCATCTTGTATGTGCTACAAAATATGTAGTTCCTAGTAATGTATTTTCAGCCCTAACTACATTTCTAACATGAGATGGCTGATTTTTAACATTGGTGACACTATCTAGTGCATCCAAAAGTTCCTTTTGTTGTATGAACTTATATTACCACATTAATCTTACACTCAGTGGTTGTTTGACTTCATTTCCCCTACAAATCACATTCTATATTTTATAATGGATTTGTTAACATTAAAAATCACTTTTCATTATCATTCTTTCATATAGCAGCAAGTTAGTATATTTGCACAAGATATTTATCAATAAGTTTTGAGCACTAAATTTAAAAAAATTCATCTTCTCTAAACATCTATCTTAAAATTTTTCTTTAATAATAAAAACATAAAAACTTAAATTTTTATTACTATTCTATTAATAAAAACAATTGTTGGATAGTTGTTTTTATTCAAGATAATTGTTCATCTATCATTTTCTTTTAAGTTTTAGACCTCAGTTGATATAAATTACTTGCTAATAATTATTTTTTTTAAATCACAAAATTTAAAAGTTAATGTTTTTTATTTATCATTTATTGATTTATATAATAACACATGTAATATAATTTTTTTACTATTTTATGAGAAATTTAAATTCATAATTAAATGTATAAAGTTTTCTTTCAATAATATATGTTAAAATTTACTAGAGTATCTTTTTGTAAAATATAATTTTATACGAATGGTTAGAATTTGGATAATTATAAGCTATTTTAATTTTATAATAATTTACATATTTTTATAATTGTTTGTTATATAAGTTTTATTTCATATATTATATAAAAGAATAAATATATCTTAATTTATATTCTTCTAAAATCAACTTACATTTTATAAAATTTGATATTTTTTTTTGGGTTATAAAATTTTGATAATAAAATGATGGGATGAAGTCCAAATAAATGAGTTTTGTCGTTAAATAGTTAATATATTTTAGTTTATATTTTTTTTAAATCAACTTATATTTTATAAAATGTAAAATATTTTACGTGGTAGATTATAAAATTTTGATAATAAAATGATAGGGTTGAAGTCCAATTAAATGAGTTTCTGTCATTAAATAATTAAAATAATAGGTGAAAATATGACGTTATATTTAATATATTAATTTTTTTACCAAAAATTATTTCAAAATAAATATGAATATTTTATTATGTATCATGATATAAATTTTGATGAGAATGCCTTATATAAAAAAAATTATAATTTTAAATAACTTTCTCAAATTTTAAATACATGTAAAATCTTTAATAAAATATTTATTTTTAGGGTTAAGTATGTTTTTAGTGTATGTACTTTCATGTGAAATTGGAAATAGTCCCTTTATCAAAGTTCACATAAAAATGATTCCTATATTTTTGAAATAATTGGAATATGTCTTTATTTTAAACGATATTAAATATATGGTGACATGTCTAACAGAGATAGTATGACTCATTCATTATTTGACATCTGTATTTATTAAAAAAAAAAAAGCAAAGCTCTACTTTAAAAAAAATAGAAATTATTCAATAAAGATTATTATTTAAAAAAAAAACAAAATTAAAAAATAGAAGTTTTTATTTTCTCCTCGCTAGGGATGTTAATATGGGTTCTAACTCGTGAGTCAACCCGACTCACGACGGGTTTGAGCCGGGTTGGGTTCGATTTTTTTATTTCTATCGATTATGGGCTAAAAATGAACCTGGCTCACTTAACCCACGGGTTAAACGGGTTCAAGTTGGATTATGGTGGATTGGCTCGAAACTCACCATTAATTTTAAATTTTAAAAATAATTATAATACTTTAGTAACCCTAATTGATGTTATCTTATCTTACATCTACCCTACATTGTTGGTTGTCACCATAAGTCAAACTCTCACTTAAACTTGTTATTAGTTATTCGTTGCACCACTACGTTTGCGCTGCACTTGGGTCACTTGTCTTATTATCTGTCCACTGTAACACTACACCACCATGTCCACTATATTGCTTTCAAAGGTAAGAATTTGTTTCATAACCTAAACGATTGGATTAATGAATCTTTATTTGAAAACTGTAACATTTATACATTATTTGATGTTTGTTATTGATTTATATGTATATCTCTTTAATATATGAATTTTTGACTTCTTTCTTTTAAATTAATTTACAAAATAGAATCTGAAACAATTTATCAAAGTGTCAATGTAAATTGTATTGGTGATGATTTTATTATTAATGAAAAACTCAATGAGTCAATTTCGAGTTAATAACGAAGATAGTGATATTGAGAATGGAAGAAAGAAAACAAAAGTTTCTACATCTGAAATTTCTATATCATTTAAAAAATAAAATAAAAATATGGGTTAGTGAGTCAACCCACCTAACCCACCAACTCATGGTAGGTTGAGCCGGGTTGTAAAATTTCTGGCTCGCCAAAAAGTAAACCGAGTTGAGCTCACCTATTTTTAGTTCAACCCGTGGTGAGCCAACCCATGTGAGCTGGGTTGACTCACTTTGACATCCCTACTTCTCACGCACCAAAGCTTTCCGGTTCTCGTCACAACCACTTTTCATTCTCTCTTTTTTTCTCGTCACAGTTACTTTTCGTTCTCTCTTCTTTTCTCATTACACATCAAAAGTTTTTTCTTTCTTCTCCTTTCTCTATAAAGGTTATATGAAGTCAATGTGACTTTGAAGTTCGAGGGCTCCATCAGTTCGTTGTGATTCGACTGACAGTGTGACGGTGGAGCACAACGGCAGTGTGACGGTGGAGCACAACGGCAGTGCGACGGTGGAGCATAATGGCAGTGCGACGGTAGAGCACAATGACAGTGCGACGGTAGAGCACAACGGAAGTGCGACGGTGGTGCACACGACATTGTGCAAATTTAAATGACTTTTAAAAGCTTGACACCTTTTAATTTTATTTAATTTTATATTTTTAAATAATTACACGTATCAAATAATAAATGAGTCATACCATTTCATTAAACATGTCAAGCATATACTTAGCGTTTTTTAAAATAGAGACTTATTTTAATTATTTCAAAAATATAAGGATAATTTTTATGTGAATTATGATATAAGGACTAAAAATATACTTAACCTTCTTTTTTTATTATTAGGCATACTCGGTAATTAGTAGTAATTGCGAAGCTTTCCAAGAAAGCAGTATACTACAACTAAAAACCATACACGCGTGACTTCTTCTACACTTGTGATTAGTAATGTTTTCCTTTCTCAAAGCTGTCTAAAAACTAGAACACATTAATTATCATTTTCTTTATCGGTACTAGGTGAACTGAATTAAATATGAAACTTTTAATTTAAAAAGACAATGCTCTATAAGTAGATTTTGGTAGAGCTTTTGTTGGAAAGGCAACTCGAGCAGGGGATCATGATCACAGTTTCCCTAAAAGTTTTGGTTGATAAAGAGAAAAATAAAGTTGTGTTTGCTGAGGTAGAGAAAGACATCGTGGATGTTTTAGTCAGTTTCTTGTAGGATCTTTAAAGCGATTTTTTTAATAAAAGTTGATTAAGAATAAAATTTTGGTTGATAAAGAGAAAAATAAAGTTGTGTTTGCTGAAGTAGAGAAAGACTTCGTGGATGTTTTAGTCAGTTTCTTGTAGGATCTTTAAAGCGATTTTTTTAATAAAAGTTGCTTAAGAATAAAATTTTGGTTGATAAAGAGAAAAATAAAGTTGTGTTTGCTGAAGTAGAGAAAGACTTCGTGGATGTTTTAGTCAGTTTCTTGTAGGATCTCTAAAGCCATTTTTTTTAATAAAAGTTATTTAAAAATAAAATTAAATATTTTATTATAGATCTTATAATTAAATTATTTAAAATTTGGTCAAAATTATTTATACAAATACTTTTTTTACAATTTTAAGTAATTTTTTTTATTTTTAAATATTTTAAACGTAGAATCCATAATAAAATATCTATTTTTATTCCTTATTAGACTGGTGACTAAAGAGTCCCATGTATAACTAGTGAAAGTTGGTAGCCTGAGCACATTGTAAGTGTTGAAGAAAAATTTCTTTGGGTTCATACCTGCAAGAAAATGCTACTGCAACCAAGTAACTCTATGGAAGGTTATTGCCAAAATCTGAAGTTGAATATTGATGACACTGAGCCTAAGAGCTACTACTTTTGTGAGAGCTGGTTGAAATGTATCATGAACCCGCCCCTTGTCAGCACTTTCAGGAATCAAAGACGTGGTTGTGGAAAATTATTGAACAGGATGATGAGATCTTTAGATTTACCAAATTTAGAAATTGGCTTTGTGAATGAATATGCTTCTTTTTTAGTTTCTGATGATCTTTATATAATGCCTAATGTTTTTAGAGCGGGTGCAAATCTGTTTCTTAAGGTTGGAATTGAAGACATGGAGAAGGTTGAGGAACTAACTGTGGATATCACCAAGGAGGTATGTCCATTTTTAACTTTGTTTTTATATTTTCATCCTTTCTTTTCATTGGTTTGTTCATATTTTATTGTAGGTAGTGGACTTGCTCAAGTTTTCATTAATCTCAAGGACCCCTATAACAGATTTAATCTTAAGCAAGAAAAATTATCTTGGTAATTTTATCCCTATAAATCAAAATCAGTTTGAGATTGAAAAACTACCATCTGGTAAGGGTAGGCAAATGGTTGCGAAAATACAAATAAGAATATCAAATGGGAAGATTCTGTTTGCTTTGGCAGAAGAAGAGTTTGTTGACTTTCTTTTTAGTCTCTTACTTTTCCCTTAGGAGGAGTGCTTCACATGCTTGAAGGATCTTCATCAGTAAGCTACATAGATAACTTATATAGGAGCATGAATGATCGGTAAACGGAATTAATTACGTAATTTGTCAAATTATTTAATTATCAAAATCAATTATAATTGTTATTTTCTTTTATTAGGATATATTATAGTAGAATAATTATATTAATTGTATATATAATTGTTAGCTAGTTTAAAGAGAAAATGAGAGAATATTAGTTTGTATTAAATATATATATATGAGAGGGAACACACAATTTTACCAACACATTTTTCACATGGTATCAGACTGATTACTCACAGGACTCAAACATAAAGTAGTTAACCCTCAATGTGCTCCACAATACAATCTCAGCAACAAGATACCAATTGGAGTAGAGAGTTTCCCTTGTACTAATTCATTTTTTGATAGATCTTTTAATATTGTTAATCCTAAGTCCTCTACTGGAGAATCTTCAAGTCTTCATGGATTTGTTTAAGGACCAGTAATGTACATGGTGACAGATGACTTGTTTGTGACTCAAATGTCATCCATTTATGCTGTTTCGTATCTAAATAGACTTAAAGTACCACTCTCTGACTTGGAGGAAAGGGTCATCACAATTGGTGTGAAGGAGGTAAGAAACTGTGTGGCTTCTTCCGTTGCATGCTGTTGTTTTTTTGAGATTACATCACATTCTCTGTGATTGAATGGTGCAGGGTCTTGTGATATTGAAAGCTTCATTGACTTCAATATTTGCTTTGTCAGAGGGTCTGAAACACTTCATAAGACCGATTCAAGAGGAATGGTTCAATCCCCTCCATCCTGTTTGAATTAATACACAAGATTTTAATGACTGTTCACCAAGTGCAGTTTATGCCACAACGTCAAAGTTTTTGGACTCTCTATGGTTATATCACTGAATTTGTGGTGCCATTCACTGCATTTGTCCAGAAGTTTCTACCACATAAAAGATCACTGCAAAACTTCTATTGCAACCATCTTGGGTTACAGAATTTGGTTGTAAACCATTCTGTGATAGAAAACTATTGCTGTGTCAAAGCTGTTTCTAGTAGATTCTGTTTAAAACTATTGTGGCCTATTATTGATTTCCTTCAATGGATTTTTATTGTTACCATTGCCTAATGTTAGCACAGGTGATATTTTTGTTAATGAGTCTGTCCCTTAATATTTAGAAGTCTTTGTTGTGTAGAATAAATCACTTTGTGATATTCATGAATCCTAATAATTAGAAATAATCATTTATGGATTGAACTAAGACGTAAACTTAATATTCATGGTTGAATAAAAACTATAAACTTATTACCATATCATCATGAAACATATTACAATTGTATATTTTTTTTAATACGCTTTTTTAATATATTATTTTGTTTGGATTCATTATAATATAAGTCTTTTATTATGTTTTATTTATTTTTAATAATTGTTAAGCGATATTTTATATTATAAAGGGTGTGTACACTCTTCTATTGTATTCTTATAAATTTGTAGAAGTATTATAACTTAATGATACTATTTCTAGTCACATTTATAATTATTAAGGGATTGTAACTGCTTAAAAAAATAAAAGATGCCGAAAACTCTTTTTTATAATCTTCTAAAAATATGTTTTACTTTCTCATATTTCAAGAAAATAGAAGATTTTATGAAATAAATGCTTGATAGTTGTTATGTCATGGCAATTTCCTTGAATGAAAGAAGAGACCCTGGTACAATACCAGTACTTTGGTTCTACCATTTTTTTTTATACTTTTTGAGTATTTTGAGAATGAGATCAAATATTTATATGAAAGGAAGATCAGAGATCTAGCAACTGCAATTATTTAATGAACAAAACACTTCACATCTGTTGTATATCCCAAATTTAGGTACAAAATAAAATATTTGCTCAATTTAAATATCATAATTTAGTCTCTCTTTTTTTTCATAATGAAAGTATGAACTAGGTACACTGATAGAAAAAGAAGACCAACAATATTTCTAAAAAAAGTGACCTAAGTAATCCTTCATTTACTAACTTTAATAGTGTACTATTTTTAATAAAATTCTTTCTTTACAACTACAATATTTATTTTAGCCACTAGATTATATATACTATTATTTTAAACTGGTCTTTGAAAAAGTCCAAAATTAAAGAAAAAAATCAAAAGAATAATCATTTAACAAACTATTTATCAAAATTATGCCATTTTTTCATTTAGATTAGTTTGGTTCAAGTGTTAATTTGTCAAACTAACAACTTTATGCTAAAAATTAATTTTCAATAAAATTTTCAAAAATCAAGAAATTGGGTTTTGTCAAGTGCAGCATAACAGAACAATGAGTAGCCTCAAATTTCAATTAGCTTTTCCTATCTTTCAACCATTTCTGATTTTCTTTATTCTTTTCTTCTACATCAGCTCTAGAAAAATCATTTTGACACCCTTTTACACATAAAACAAATCCTAAAATGAATAATACGTTCTTATCATCAGTTAATAAAAAAAGTCAAAAAAACACACACCTAATCGTCATATGCATATTAACAACAGTAAACGGGATAAAGAAGACATAATCCCTTGGAATTATAGCTATAACTATTGTAATTTGTAAGCACAGAATAATTGTCATCAATCAGTACATAAGATCATAAATTCTTAAATATCAAATTTTCGCACTTCATAGTAAACAACACTGGAAAATACCATAATTATCTTTAAGACCTAAAAAGACTCTTACCGAAGTCATTTGGAATATTTTTTTTTATTCTTCAATCAAGAAATGCTTACAAAATGATATAATAGTTAACTGTGAGAGGTCAAACTGCGTCCAATCTCGTAAGAGAGAAAGGCGTCAATGGTAGCATACTGAACCTGTTGTGCAGTGAGCCAGGGATTATCCCACCTACTCCTCGTGATCCGTTTGGGCTTCTCAACTTCCAATCCCAGCACGCGGAGGCCCAAGGACTTAATCCCGGCCCGGTTCAACTCCCTGTCACCAAGCTTCTCCGCGGCGAGTGAGCGAAGGTCACGCATAGTAACAACATGGAGATCATAGTCTTCTAGAAGCTTCTCTGCGTCTTCTTCTATCCCAACGCCAAGGAAAGTGACATTGGGATCAGCAAGGAAGGAAACGAGGGAAGGAGGGACAGAAGGGGAGTGAAGGATCTGGAAGACCAGGCAGTGCTGACCGAGGCAGAGCTGAAGGGTGGCAACAAGATTCTGCATGTTCCGGTGCGTGTTGGGCCGCCACTCGATGTCCAGGCCCACCAAGAGCCCAGCGCGGTTGCCGCGGACGTTGGTGGAGATCCAAGCGTCCACGAGGGAGGGATCGGAGGTGAGGAGAGTGTGGATGGAGTGGGTGTGGAAAGTTACGTCGTACAGGTTGTGGGTGTCGTAGGGAAGGCAGTGGTCCACCACGCTTACGGTAGCCACGCGGGTGGAGGTGGCATTTGGCGAGCTGATCGGAACTCTGTTGTGGTCTCGCTGCTCTGCCATGGCTCTGAATTGGGGAAAAAGAAAGAGGGTTTGAATTGAACCTAAATTGTGAGCCTTTTAGGGTTCTGATTTACTACTCTCTCTTTACCAATGTTTTATATTTAAACCTACTTTATATTACTGTATGTAAACACTAATAAATCTAAAATATATTCTTATAGTTATCTGTTGTAGCAGGAAGCAAAAGGGAAAATGCACAAGAAAATATCAACAGTGAGCTTGAAATAAAAGATCTAAACTAAATAAAAGAGATGAAGTTTCAACTTCTTGGGACCCCACCCAGGGCCTATTCTACCTAACAGAGTAGTCTAAGGTTAAAACTTGTATATAGAAAACGTAAAATAATTTTAGATAGAGATGTTTTATATTAAATAAATAAAAAAAGTTAAATGGTAGGTTCTATAGTCAACACGCCTTTCTTATTTCTTTATAAAAATCAGTGATGAATAGATTTTTTTTTTTTATAAAATTTAAAACTTAAAGTTTAGATATTTGAAAAAACAAATATTTTAGGGATTGTTTAATGGAAGAAAAAATGTAATTCTTCAAATAAAACTAAACATAAAAAAAAAAGTTTACTTTACAATTTCAACTTTAAAAGTAAAATCAAATTGTTTCTTACACGACCCTATGTTTTAAAAAAAAAAGAACAGCAATCAAACACATGATTAGGTATACACAATAATTCTATAAATAAAAAAATGAAGTAGATGTAAATTCCCATGCATTTAAAATCTTTTAAAATTTTGAAATCTTTTACGCAAACACCAGCAAAAGATACATTTAGGACAAGTAAGATGATGAAAAAATAAAATCAGTTTTTAAACATTTAATCGTGACATTACTTCAAGAAACTAATAAAATTAAATAAAGTTCTAAATCTTCCAAAGATTTTATGTAAAACTGACTTCTTTTTTAAGTTCAGTGACTTAAATGATAATAATAATCCAAATTTAAGAATTAAAAATTGAATAAATTTTAAGGATATGAATAAAACTCCACCAATTTCATTATCTAATATATATAATTTTAGAAACTAAATGATCAATTTAGTAAAAGAAATAGATGAGAAGAAAAAAATAAGTAAAAGCAAAATTACCTTTTAGGTTGTTTAGTATAGAGAACAATATAAACAAGAAACATCATTATTTTTCTGTTTTCTCTTATTTTATTTATAGTGTAGAGGAAAAAATTAATGTAAGTAAATTACATAAATAACAACAGTATATACTTTTTTTCACCCCGTCACCCGCCAATTTAGGAAGTAAGGTATGCTCCATAGAGGACCCATCTATACATGTTTCTTCTTTCTTGGACAATTCCAAAAGTTTGGAACTTTGGAACTACAAAACTTGTATTGTTTTCCTTGGTCATGCGTCTCACTTCATTCTTTTCCTCTTCACCAAAACAGAACAATAAATAATGTCGAAAAATCCAAATGTGAGGAGGTTAAGGCCATGAGTAAGAAAAACGAAGTTCAACAGTATATAAAGATGGATAACTTAATATCTTAAGGAGGTGGTATCTATGTCTCGTTGATGTTGGGCTCTCCTGCTCAATCTCCCTCGACACATCACATAAAACCTTTGTTGCTTCATTAATTTTTTCCAGTTTTATGTTTCAGACATGGCTTCCATTCAAGAAGCAACAATCCCTTTGAGATTTTGGATTGATGAAGAAAAAAACAGTGTAATTGTGGCAGAAGCAAGTGGAGACTTCGTTGATGTTCTCTTCAGTTTCCTCACCCTTCCACTGGGAACTATCATCAGGCTTGTGTCAAAAAACCAACCTCAGCAACCTTTAGAGATTGCTTGCATCAACAACCTATACCAGAGTGTGGAAAAGTTCAACACTAATGTCTTCTGGAACCGTATCTGCCCGCAAATGTTGCTTTCTCCGCGGAACCCTTCAGAAGCCTCTTGCCAGAGACTGAAACTGAAGGTGGATGACACTGTGCCCACGAAGTATTTCGTGTGTGAGTACTGTTTAAAGGGCATTGATTTGTTGCTGAGTACTTTTGATGGGGCAAGTTGCTACTGTGGGAAATTGATGAGCAAAGAGATGAAGGTGCAGGAAGAGTCCAAGAAAAATGGTTCTTGGGAAAATGGTGTTTTTGTTAGAGAAGATGCCATGTTCTTGATCTTTGATGATTTGAGAGTGCTTCAGAGCTCTCCAGGTAACAGTGTTCAGCAACTCCATCAACTTGGATACAAAGATTCAACAAGATGAAAGAAATGTCTATAAACGTTGGCATGAAGGAGGTAATATTATTTTGCAAATGATGTATGAATATGCTATTAGACACTCCCAAGAGAGAGACAGACTGTTGTCTGAGAAATCTTTGGCATTAATAATCTTTTACATTAATATATCTTCAGAACTTCTTTAACATTAACTTCAAGTCTTTTTAATGTATGTGTACGTTAATTTGAGAAGAAAAAACTATCAAATCAAACTTGTAATAAATTCAGCTTATAAATTGCATTTTCAGGTTGCAATTATCTCAACTGGGGTCTCTTATACAAAAAAATGTGTAGTTTTAGTAAATTGTTGATGATGACCTCATGCAATTCCTTTTTGTAAAGTTACGTATAGATGTGAATGATCATCCTGTTGACAATTCAAGGACTTGACGTTGCACTTGATGAATATGAAGAATGGATTTTGATGATGATCCAAGAACTAAAGACTTAGAATATTGAAGATTGAAGATTGGTGATAATTGTATTGTAATAACTCTGTTTTATTTAAGATTGAGTCTGTATTTTTAGAGTCTAAGATAGCCGGTACATAGTCTGTAACTTAGAAGCTTCAAAAAGCTCAAAATTATCATTCAGGCTCGGTTTTAATCGATTATATAGACAAATAATCGATTAAAACAATGAGAAAACACTTTCTATACAAACTCACTGTTTTAATCGATTAAAACAAAGAAATAATCGATTGTTTTGTACTCGTTCGCATGCAGATAATCGATTATTTCACCAAATAATCGATTATTCCAGAGAGGTTTGGGTTCGACGTATTTGGCTTCGTTTTAATCGATTATCACTCCAAATAATCGATTATTTCGATCTGTTTTTCAATTTAAATTTCAAATTAACCCTATTTTCGAAAACCCAATTACCAAGAACCCTAGTTTCGAAATCCCCAATTCCTAAACCCTAATTTCCCTACTTAAACTCGCTTTGGCACTCGAAAAGAAGAACAACTCTTTCCATACAAAAGTTAAGTGCTTGTGAGTGTCGAGAACTGTTTGTTGCAAGGAAAGGGGGCTTTTGGAACCTCGGTGTGAGGCTAGAAGCGATAAGAATCACTAAGTGGAGTTCTTAGTGGATTGTGTGTTGTGCCGTCTCTAGGGAAAGCTGTTCTTCATCTCTTGTGGATTTCAAGAGAGGTGTTTTCGTATCTTTATCTTTTCATTTGTAATCTGTTTGTAACAATTTGTTCTTAGTGACAGCGTTAATCCTCTTTTGAGTGATTAGCAACTGGACGTAGGGTCTTTTGATCCGAACCAAGTATAAACCTACCGTGTAATCTTCTCTACTCTTCTCTATTTACATTTACGCAGTTTTTTATCGGTAAAATTTGGGGAAAATTTTGAAAACCTAATTTTTATTAAGAAACCAATTCACCCCCCTCTTGGTTTTTTGTCCGACCACGCGAACATTTCACTGCGCGATTCTAACAAGTGGTATCGAGCTTGCTTTGATAGTCATTCAAACTTTTCGAAAATGGCCGGACAAAATCAAACTTTTGCCGAAGGTGCGTCTATCAACAGACCCCCACTTTTTGCGGGTCAAAATTATCCTTTTTGGAAAGTACGTATGCAAATATTTTTAGAGTCTGTTGATAGAGGCGTTTGGGATGCAATTTTAAACGGTCCATTTGTTCCTAAAATTACAGAGAACGGTGTTGACGTTCTTAAACCTATTTCTAGATGGACTGCAGAAGAAAGTCGAAAAGCACAATTTGATGTTAGGGCTAGAAACATTATTTCATCTGCTCTAACCCTTGATGAATTTTATAGAATTTCAGTTTGTAAAAGTGCACAGAAAATGTGGGAAATGCTAAGGGTGACCCACGAAGGAACTGTTAGGATCGAGCGCTTACCACTAGGCCAAAAGCTATAGCCATTAGTCAGAGCGCAACTCTTTTTACTTTAACAGCCCAAGCGCCACGATTCAATTGTGACTCGGCCCACCTGACCTTCGTCACAGGACAATTGATGCTACCTGCAACAATCTCCCCCTCAGCAATTGTCCTACAAGGTATCCCACTCTTGGATTGTGACTTGGCCCACCCGGCCTCCGCCACGGACAATTGTGCAACCCGCAACAATCTCCCCCTCAACAATTGCCCACCAGGAATCGAACTCGTGACCTTGGCTCTGATACCACTTGTTAGGATCGAGCGCTTACCACTAGGCCAAAAGCTATAGCCATTAGTCAGAGCGCAACTCTTTTTACTTTAACAGCCCAAGCGCCACGATTCAATTGTGACTCGGCCCACCTGACCTTCGTCACAGGACAATTGATGCTACCTGCAACAGGAACTGACAACGTCAAAAGAGCGCGTAAAAATTCTCTAATTCAAGAGTACGAAATGTTCCGGATGCAACCAGGCGAAACGATATTTGACGTACAGAAACGTTTCACTCATATCGTGAACCATCTCAGCGGACTAGGTAAAATTTTTGACGTTGATGAATTAAATGTTAAAATTTTGAAATCTCTGGATAGGAAATGGCAACCAAAGGTGACGGCCATCTCGGAGTCACAAAATCTTGCCACTATGTCCATGGCGGCATTATTTGGAAAGCTTAGGGAGCATGAACTTGACCTTAGAAGACTAAATGAGGAAGAGGGTCAATATCAAAAGAAGAACCTAGCTTTCAAGACCGAGATTTCAAAAAGCAAAAATAAGAAAGAAGAAGAAGAAGACTCCGAAATTGATGAAGAAGAGATGAGTCTTTTTATAAAGAATTTCACCAAGATGATGAAAGCAAAAGGAAGACATCCTTTCAAAGGTAAGGGAAAGGTAAAAGAAAATTCTTCCGTTAATATAAAATGCTTTGGTTGTGGTGAAGCAGGGCATATGAAGATCGAATGCCCAAACAAGAAAAATGATGAACACAAGGGCAAAAAGCAATTCAAGAAGAAAGCATATATTGCTTGGGATGACAGTGATTCAAATTCAGAATCAAGCGACTCAGAAATTGAAGCAAACATTTGCTTGATGGCAAATAACAACATTTCTTCGGATTTTGAGGTTAGTGATTCCGATTCATCCTCTAGTGAAGAAAATGACCATGATGAATTGCAAAATGCTTATAATGAGTTATTTACTGCATTTATGGAAATGAAAAAAGAATATAAAGTTGTAAAGAAAAATCTAAGAAAATCCGAAAAGGAAAATGAGTCCTTAAAATTGAAAATTGCATATTTAGAAGAAAAGGAGGTAGCTAATACGAAAATTGTATGCTTAGATGAGAATAAGGACTTAGCTTGTGCAAATTGTAAAGAGCATGAATATGACATAGATATTCTTAATCATTTGCTTGACAAAGCCGAAAAAGAAATTGATGATCTTAAGAAGAATGAAATGGTATTTGCTCAAAATAATGTAAATCATAGAGTTTCTTTGAAAAAGAGTAAATCTAAAAAGAAAAGAATATGGGTAGAAAAAGGAACTAGAGCATGTCATGTAAATAATGCATCTTATTCCATAGCTACATCAAAAGCATGTTTTTATTGCATGAAACAAGGTCACACTTCAAATAAGTGTAAAATCAAACATTTTGGAGTTCCTAAAGGAAAATATATTTGGGTTCCTATAGTTAAATGAACTATTTGTATCTTGTATTTATTCAAAGAAAATGGATCAGTTAGTATGTTTTAAAACAGAATGATTAGGTAAAAACATTTTATCTTTTCTATTGCATGAAGGTTCTTCACTTAAAGATTTTTTTGCGAAAAGCCTCTAAAATTGTTTTAAACAACCTAAAACAAAGTATTTTTACAAAAGCCTTCTTAAAACATGTTTTTACCTCGATGCAGCTTTGAAAGAACCAAATAAAATCAATTAGAATGGTCAAAGAAGTGTTTTTACAAAGATTTTAATCGATACAATATGTTTTTAATCGATTAAAACCATTTAGAACTCATTATGATCGATCAGATTTTTATTATGAGCTGGTCGAATCCTTTAAATCGATTAAAAACACGTTTCAATCGATTAAAATTACTTAAAGGGTCGGATGATCGATCAGAATCAAATTATGACCGATTAGAAGCAAATGTGATCGATCAGATTTTAATTATGAGCTGGTCGAATTTTTTCAATCGATTAAAACACGTTTCAATCGATTAAAATCACTTAAAGGGTCGGATGATCGATCAGATTTTTATCATGACCGATCGTAATCGCTTATGATCGATCGAATTTAGTTATGACCGATCGAACTCTTTTAATCGATTAAAAACTCATTTCAATCGATTAAAACAACTTAAAAAATTTTCTACACTCGCGTTTCAATCGATTAAAAGATGTTTTAACAGATTAAAACCGCACTTTTAACAGATTAAAAGGATCTTTTAACAGATTAATTAAACCAGCAGCTTTGAAAATCCTCTATAAAAACAGCTTTGCTTAAACTTTTTAAACACACAAAGAATAGATTGTTTTGCAGAGATTTTAAATAGATTGTTATGTCTCTAACCTCAAGGACCCAAAAGTTGTGGGGACCTAAGTTTACTATGTTCTTGTTTTGTAGGAAACTTCCAAATCAAAGAAGTCTATGTGGTATCTTGATAGTGGATGCTCAAAACATATGACTCGGAGATAAAACGAAATTTGTAAGTTTCAAAGCCAAAGAACAAGGATATGTGACTTATGGGGATAACAACAAAGGAAAGATTCTCGGAATTGGAAACATAGGTGGTGCAAACACATTGGAAATTAAGGATGTGTTTCTTGTTGATGGACTAAAGCATAACCTTCTTAGCATAAGCCAATTGTGTGACAAAGGATTCAAGGTAACTTTTGAAAGCCAATTTTGCACCATACATTTAATAGATTCCGAAAAAGTAGAATTAAAAGGCATTAGGCATAACAATATATATTTGATTGATTTGGATTGTTTACATGAGTCTAGTATAACATGTTTAGTTGCTAAGGAAGAAAACCCTTGGTTATGGCATAAAAGAGCGGCTCATATAAACATGCATCATTTGAATAAATTGATATCAAAAGACTTAGTTATTGGATTGCCTAAATTGAAATTTGAAAAAGATAGATTGTGTGATGCATGCCAAAAAGGTAAACAAGTTAAATCATCATTTAAATCAAAGAATGTGATTTCCACTTCAAAACCCCTAGAATTATTACATTTAGATTTATTTGGACCTTCTAGGATAAAAAGCTTTGGTGGAAATTATTATGGTCTTGTAATTGTTGATGATTACTCTAGGTACACTTGGACATTTTTCCTAACTATGAAAAGTGAAGCTTTTAAGGTCTTTAGAAAGTTTGCTAATCAAATACAAAATGAGAAAGACCTAAGAATTAAAGTTTTAAGAAGTGACCATGGTGGTGAGTTTCAAAATGAAAAGTTTGAGAATTATTGTGAGGAAAATGGTATATTACATAACTTTTCTGCTCCTAGGACTCCCCAACAAAATGGTGTAGTTGAAAGGAAAAATAGGTCATTAGAGGAACTTGCAAGAACTATGTTAAATGAATCTAATGTTCCTAAATATTTTTGGGCTGATGCGGTTAGTACTGCATGTTATGTTTTAAATAGAATGCTCATTAGGTCAATTATGAAATCTACTCCATATGAATTGTTTAATGGTAGAAAACCTAATGTTGCACATTTGAAAATTTTTGGTTGTAAATGTTTTGTACTAAATAATGGAAAGGACAATCTAGGAAAATTTGATTCAAAAGCCGATGAGGGCATTTTTCTAGGTTATTCTTTAACTAGCAAGGCGTATAGAGTATTTAATAGAAGAACTTTGAATATAGAAGAATCTATACATGTTACTTTTGATGAGATTGTAGACCTTGGGGGAAATCCTCTTGAGTCAAATAAAAGACTTGCAGGTGATGATGAATATATAAGAGAGGCCCTTGATGAATTATACTTGGAAGATAATATGCCTTCTCAAACTCCTCAATTAGCAAAAGAATGGCAATCACCTAGAGGACTCTCAATGGACAACATTATAGGGGACATCTCAAAAGGGGTAAGAACTAGAAATATGAATAATTTCTGTATGTCTGTTGCTTTTGTGTCACAGATTGAACCTAAAAACATTGAGGAAGCACTTAAAGATGATCAATGGTGCATAGCCATGCAAGAAGAACTTAACCAATTTGAAAGGAATCAAGTCTGGGAACTAATCCCAAGAGAAGAGTCACATCAAGTTATTGGAACTAAATGGGTATTCAGAAATAAGCTTGATGAAGATGGTAATATAACAAAGAATAAAGCCGGACTTGTTGCAAAAGGCTATTGTCGGGAGGAAGGTATAGATTATGATGAAACTTATGCTCCCGTGGCCAGGTTAGAGGCTATACGCCTACTTCTTGCTTATGCATCTATGATGAAATTTAAATTATATCAAATGGATGTTAAGAGTGCATTTTTAAATGGTTTTATTAAAGAAGAAGTGTATGTAGAGAAACCCCCTGGTTTTGAAGATTTTAATAATCCTAATCATATTTTCAAATTGAAGAAAGCATTATATGGATTAAAACAAGCTCCTAGATCTTGGTATGAAAGATTAAGTAGTTTCCTAACTGCAAATGGTTTTTCAAGAGGAAAAATTGATTCTACACTATTTATTAAGAAAGTTAAAAAACATATCTTATTGGTCCAGGTATATGTTGATGATATTATTTTTGGATCAACTGATAATTTTTTGTGTGTAGAATTTGCTAAGATTATGCAGGGAGAGTTTGAAATGTCGATGATGGGAGAATTAACATTCTTCCTTGGACTTCAAATCAAACAACTTAAAGATGGCACTTTCATCTCTCAAACTAAATACTGCAAAGAGATTCTCAAAAAGTTTGGAATGGACACCTCAAAGGAAGCCAACACACCCATGGAAACTTCATGCTATCTAGACAAGGATGAATCAGGTTTGGAAGTTAATCAAACTATGTATAGAGGTATGATAGGATCACTATTATACTTAACTCGCTAGTAGACCCGATATTATGCATTCTATCCGTGTGTGTGCTAGATTTCAGTGCTTGTCCTAAAGAATCTCATCTAATTGCAGTAGAAACATATTTTAAAATACTTAAAAGGAACTACTCGGATTTGGCTTGTGGTATCCGTCTCGATGCTTGTATTAGTTTATTAGGATATTCTGATGCCGATTATGGTGGATGTAAAATTGATAGGAAAAGCACTAGTGGGACATGTCATTTGTTAGGTTCATCCTTAATATCATGGCATTCTAAGAAACAAGCATGTGTAGCTTTATCTACCACTAAGCTTGAATATATTGCAGCTGGTAGTTGTTGTGCTCAAATTCTGTGGATGAAACAACAATTAGAGGATTATAGCATATATTTAAATGACATACCCTTAATGTGTGATAATACGAGTGCAATTAATCTAACTAAGAATCCAAGTAATGCACTCTAGGACTAAACATATTGAGATTAGACATCACTTTTTAAGAGATCATATCAACGAAAGGAAACTGTAAGATAGAGTATGTAGACACTAAACGTCAATTAGCAGATATATTTACTAAGCCTCTACCAAAGGATAGATTCTATGATCTTAGAAGAGACTTAGGGATATTAGAAATAGCTTAAATTCCGCTTAATTTGACTGTTTTTGGATGATTGTTATGTTAAAATTCGTGGTGTAGGATATTCATAGGTTATAATGTGTAAAAACCTTAAAAACTTGATATAGCCTCCGGAATAATCGATCATCGGATGTGATAATCGATTATTTTTCATCAAAACGTCCAAAACAGGGTATTCTCCTCTGGAATAATCGATTATTTCGTGAAATAATCGATTAAATTCCTCTGATAATCGATTAATTGTTGGAAATAATCGATTAAAGTTGTCTGATATAGAGATATTTGAAGTATTTTCTGTTATTGTCTTGATATTGTAATAGATGAATGATTATGAAATAAAATTTGATGTTTCTTTCATGCTATGATTGAGGGGGAGCTTTCTCTAACTTATGCTTATTTTGAGGGGGAGCTCTTATGATTGATGTTGCAGAGTTCTTTTTTATTATAATCAAAATAGGGGGAGAAAAATTTAAAGCCTATGATTCAATTTTAAATTTTATCTCGGTATGTTTAATGTGTTTGTTAGTATGACAGATAAAACAGAGTTATTACAAAGGGCTTTAAAAGAAAATTTTGATCATCATCAAAAAGGGGGAGATTGTTGACAATTCAAGGACTTGATGTTGCACTTGATGAATATGAAGAATGGATTTTGATGATGATCCAAGAACTAAAGACTTAGAATATTGAAGATTGAAGATTGGTGATAATTGTATTGTAATAACTCTGTTTTATTTAAGATTGAGTCCGTATTTTTAGAGTCTAAGATAGCTGGTACATAGTCCGTAACTTAGAAGCTTCAAAAAGCTCAAAATTATCATTCAGGCTCGGCTTTAATCAATTATATAGGCAAATAATCGATTAAAACAAGTGAGAAAACACTTTCTATACAAACTCACTGTTTTAATCGATTAAAACAAAGAAAATAATCGATTGTTTTGTATCGTTCGTACTGCATAATCGATTATTTCACCAAATAATCGATTATTCCGTAGAGGTTTGGGTTCGACGTATTTGGCTCTGTTTTAATCGATTATCACTCCAAATAATCGATTATTTCAATCTGTTTTTCAATTTAAATTTCAAATTAACCCTATTTTCGAAAACCCAATTACCAAGAACCCTAGTTTCGAAATCCCCAATTCCTAAACCCTAATTTCCCTACTTAAACTCCGCTTTGGCACTCGAAAAGAAGAACAACTCTTTCCATACAAAAGTTAAGTGCTCGTGAGTGCCGAGAACTGTTTGTTGCAAGGAAAGGGGGCTTTTGGAACTCGGTGTGAGGCTAGAAGCGATAAGAATCACTAAGTGGAGTTCTTAGTGGATTGTGTGTTGTGCCGTCTCTAGGGAAAGTCGTTCTTCATCTCTTGTGGATTTCAAGAGAGGTGTTTTCGTATCTTTATCTTTTCATTTGTAATCTGATTGTAACAATTTGTTCTTAGTGACAGCGTTAATCCTCTTTTGAGTGATTAGCAACTGGACGTAGGGTCTTTTGATCCGAACCAGTATAAACCTACTGTGTAATCTTCTCTACTCTTCTCTATTTACATTTACGCAGTTTTTTTATCGGTAAAATTTGGGGAAAATTTTGAAAACCTAATTTTTATTAAGAAACCAATTCACCCCCCCTCTTGGTTTTTTGTCCGACCACGCGAACATTCCGCTGCGCGATTCTAACACATTCCTTTACAGCAATTCTTTGATAGTGTTAAGAAATTACCTTGTTTAAAACTTCCTTTGTTTTATTTCTTTTTTTCATATACTTAGCATACTAAAACAAGCATCAATCTCCAAATCTCCTCTAAGTGATGTATTCTTGAAAAACACAGAATTTAAGTCAACATTCACTTCCTTCCCATCATATAGTGGCCCAAGTTACCATAGATGTTCGATAAAACTCAAGGTAACAGTGAGCAAATCACAGAACAAGATTCTATTTGCTGAATCAGAGGGAGATTTTGTGGATTTTCTATTCAGCTTCCTCACCACACCTCTTGGTTCTATTCTGAAACTCATGAAGGGAAAATTATCGTTGGGAAGCATCGATAACTTGTACACAAGTGTGAAGGATCTTAATTCATCATGGTTCATAGGGTCAGCAAAAAACTCCTTACTGAATCCATGTGTTCCTCATCAATTTGGTTGTACAAGCCAGCCAATACATATTCCAGAAGAAGACCCTCCTAATTATTGGTATGACAGTAAGGTAAGGAAAGTTAATATCAAATATGTGAAGTGATTTCAAATATTCAAGACATATTACAATTTTTGAAAAATATAACTCAAAATATATAACTTACTTATAAAATACAAATAGATATATTTAATTAAATGATAAAGATATAATTATATCAAATTTTAATTAAATAATATTCTATTTGTATAATGATATTATGAAAAAGAATAAAAAATAAATAAATGTGAACAGGCTATGAAATTTTTTGAACCGAGATGTTCTGATGGAGCAAGAGAAACTGCAGTGGGATTTGTCAAGAGACCGTGTCTATTTGTTGTGACGGATGATCTTCAAGTGACACCAATGAAAACTACTTCTAGTCGTTCAAGAGTCACATTTGCCATTGGATGATTTTGAGGAACATCTGGTGGAAATTAAGAACTCACGCGAGGTAATGTTCACTATATCCGGTCTTAAAACTTGTTCTTCAGCATTGTTATAAGAAAATTGACTCGATATATGGTTATAATAAGAAAGTTTGATTTATATAGATAATTTTGGTGTATGTTTACTTTGAATATTTTGTTATTCAAAACTAGATCACATTATTTTAAAATAAATTTCATTTACAATAAATTTTACATATGATTTGTTTTATAATGCTGCAACTTTTCTTCCATGTTACTCTCTTCACGCTTCTTTTTCAATTCATGACTAATGTTAAATTATGTGTATTTGGTTAGGCACTGAAGCTGTTGAGAGCCTCTTTGACATCTAAAGCTGCTTTGACGAATAGCCTGTCCTTCTTACTGAAGAAAAGGAAATGGGAAAAGTGTATTTTGGGATGAATTAGGTGAAAGGAAGAAAGAGATGAAGAAGGAGATGGAAAAATAAAGAAAAAACGGGGTAATAGAAAAATTACTAGATTTACAGTTTAATTTATCATAAATGTGTAACATATTTCGTGCATAGTGTGTGGATTAGGACCGAAGAAAAAAAGTGAGAAAAATTATAGATTTGGTTATAAATGATTTCTTTCTTCTTATTGTCACTTTTACACAACATTAATTATCAAAGTATAATAATATTCATCATAGTCATTTATTTACGCATTTTGAGATGAAACCACCACAAATTACCATTCTTTCAAATTATATATATATATATATATATATATATTAACTCAACTTGCCATTTTGCTTGGATTTTGACAATCAAAGACAAAACTATTAACTTTAACTTTTATTTTTTAATTATTATTAATTTTAAAATATCAAATAATATCATTAATTTGAAAATGTTAGATTATTTTCTTTTCTCTATCTATCTTCGTCATTTCCTCCGTAACATTTTAAAATTTTATAAAAAAATATAAAAATACATTTTAAACTTTTGAAAGAAAAAAAAATTTACCCAATTTCAACAGTTGAGATAAATAAATATCTATGCAATACAACAACAATTTTTTTCCACTCATCTTCACTTTTTTTTGCAATAAATCAAATAATTTTACTTTCTACTCACCTTCTTTACCTTTCTTTTCATTTTTAGCCCTCGAACTTCCACTCTCAATGCAGATTAAATTTTATTTTCTAAAAATGAAAATATAAAGGCATATAAAAGAAATATTATGTTTTTCAATAAACGAAATATTTTATCTGCATTATTAATTAAAAGACACAATGTGGAGAATATATATCTAAATAACATTTATTAATATTTTTTCATTTTGATTATAATAATTAATAATTAAAAATAATATTAAATAATAAATAAAACTAATAAAAATAAATATATTTTATCTTATTTTCTACTCATCTTTAGTTAATTTTCTTTAATTCAAACAGATTCACCCTCTACTTTTTTTTTTTTTTGTCTTTTCAAATTCTCATTTTTCATTTTCTGATCCAAACAAACTGAATTGATTTATAAAAACCCAAAATAGACTATAACATGTTAATGTTAATTAAAAAAATATATAAATATTAATAAAAAAAGTTAATATATTGGATAAATACTTTGTTTATATAGTAATTTTTATTATAAATATATAGATTATGTTATAATATAATTAAAATTTGTAATTAATAAATATTGAACATAATTTATATTTTAGATTTATATTAAATATTATATATATATATATATATATATATATATATTAACGTTTCTGAAACGTATTGTATATTTAATTCTAAAAAATTACCATATCCTGCCTACTAATTAATAGGATCTAAGTTGAAAGTGTTTATTTACCATCAACAAAGATTGGTTAATACTAATTTATTTAAATAACTTAATAACTTATCCTATGTATTATGTTTGAGCTTTACAATGTTAATTTAATTTAATTTAATAAATATATAATAATGAACAAATAATATATTTTCACACCAAAAATGCCGTTCATGTAATTGCCGTTTTAGGCAGAACAGCAAGTCGGCAGGCACGCGGGTGTTAACCGCGGGACCATTCACCATCAAATCATAGGCCCTTTGACTCGTGTAATTGTATATCCACAATTCTTGTTCCTTAATGGCAAAGTTATTAACTCGATTATAAGGCACCCAAGACAATTAGCTGTTCTCAACTCTTAACTATCCTCCACCCCACCATGGAGGAGCCTCTGCTATCAGGTACAATTTCATTTCTTTGAGGACAAATTTTCAATTTTATTTGTTGATTTTGAATATTTACAACGATTTTGATTCTGGGTAGTTTTTAATTTTTGTTGGGTTTGGATTAGATAATAGAAGTGGATCGGTTGAGAAGGATAGTGGAAAATGGAGCTCGTATCAGTATGTGGGTCGAACCGGTTCTACGAGACCAACTGCTTCATTGGCTGGAACCGAGGTGAGTGTGGATGAAATACGATCTGCTGCTGCTGCTTCTTCTGGTCACTACCCCCCTTCTCTTCATGGGGCTTTGGTCGGTTCACCTGAGCCTGATCCTACAGGTGTGTTCTCTTGTTGTTCCTGATTCTCGCTTCATTTATGATGATTGCTAAGGTTTTAAATTGCAGTCTCAGCCGCAATTTCTCTCGACCATCAAATTTCGGATTAACGCCACTAAAGTAGCCACAGTTGCGGTCGGAAAGACCCCAAAGACATTGATGTTGTGTCTGTAATTGACTGTTTTTATGACCTTGATGATTGGTTTTGATCTTGTAATTTTTATTTTCATTGCACCACTGATTCATGGAAATGTTGACCCATACGTGCTTTTTATTGTGTAATGATTAAAAATCATTGTACAACTACCTGCATTGGAGCTTGAGTTGGGGGAACTTTCTTGCTTTTCTTTAGCAGTGTATTCTATGATAATTGTGAAACAAATGGGGAGTAACTGGTTTAAATTTATTGCCAGAAGATGCTTTGCCTGTATAACCTGGATGTTGAATACATTATTACTTGTTGCAGTGCAAGCTCTTGTTTATCAGGGTGGATATGGAGGAGATTATACTGGACCAAGACCCCAGTTTCAGAGGTATAACGCCTACAACAAATCTATTAAACACGTGTTTCATGTAACTTGTCATATTGGAACTGGGCTATACATTAAGCTATTTAATGTTTGGTTTCATTGTCTTAAAGAATTAATGGCCGTTTTTATTCTAGAATAATTCAAACCTTACTTTGACAGAAATTAGACAATGGACATAAAATGGAAGTATAGAAATGTGGACAGGTAGAGAATGTTAGGAGGCAGAAAAGCGAATCAGACCAGATAGTAAAAGTGATGTTGTTATGTATTAGAGAAGCTACATTATAGATCATTATTATGATTAGGTTATTTACTATGCTACATTATGGAACTCTTGGCTCATGGATTTCTAATTAACCTTTGAATAATTGATTTGATCGTTATATGGAGGCTATATTTTATGCTATAGATTGTTATAGCATACAATTTAGAGTTACAAAGTGATTTTAAGGTGGTAGCTTTCTGATTGATCAAAGGGGTCTATCTAAGACTTCAGATCAGAAAACAGAAACAAAGGTGTATGGAGTTTGTTATTTAAGGGCTGTTTTATAAATCTCTTTGATTAAAAGGACCAGCATCGAACGAAGGTAACTTTGCTACCTGAAAATGTGTGGTGGTGTTATTTAGCATTCATTTGGAGTCATGCACAATAAGTGAAATCATATATAAAGCACAAAACAACTAATTTATATACTAGAGTCTATTTACAGTGAAAATGGTCCTATTCATAAAGATAGAGGTTATCACTCCCTTTATGTGCTTGAGCAAATAGCAATAGCTCAAAGAGAAATTAGCAGGGATCATCAAGGTAAATCTCTGTCATTGTGAATGACTTCGTTAAAATGTTCCTCGCTCCATTTTCATATTGATTGATGTTGACGACTTTTTCACATTAAGGAAAAACAATTACTTCAAGACAACAGTATTTGTTAGGACCTATTTTTATCGAATATCGTTAGTCTCTTTCTTAATTTCTATTAATGCATGATTAAGTATTCCAAGACAATAAAACTTTAGGGAGCAAAATTAGAATAGAAGTTTCCATGTATTATTAACTGAAAATGTCAACTGGTATGATTTTTTTTTTTTCCTGAATGCTAAAACGACAATCAATATGAAATGGAGGAAGTTCTAGATTGTCCTGTTATACATGTTTAATTAAAAATTATCTTCCTTGTGTCATGTGTCTCTAAAATGTATATCTTTTGATAAAGGCCATTATGATATGGATTTCTCAAGGTCAATATTCTAACACTGAATTGGCAAATAATCTTGTTTATTGGGTGATCCTCTTTTAGGAAAGTCCTGGATGAAGTGGAGATACGAGAGTTACTCATTGATCATGTTGGTCATCGTTGCTGTTGGGGTAGCCGTCCTGCTAGAACATGGAGGATTCATGCTGTGGAAGACTGTAATGTTCATGTAGGAACACTGGATACATTTATAGAGGAAAGAGAAATCATAAGAGAGACTGAACCATACCTTGGTGGCAGTATTGATGGAAAGGATAATGGGCCTGAACTTGGTATTTGGGAATTGGATCTAAGATCTCAGTTCCCTATTCTATTTGTACCCTACAATGAAGTGCGGCAAAAGATTCCTCATTCTGAAGTTATTGAGAAATGCTCGGGTAATTTCTGGATTTTCATCTCCATGATTTACAAATCAACATGGACTACTATTTTCCCACTATTTCCTTTTACCTCTCCTAACAAAACCGTTGAAGTTATTCAGTTTGTGCTGGAAGAGGAAGTACAGTCTGTGCCACATGCAATGCAGACCAAGAACCTGGATTTTATAAGGAAAATCAGATGACTCAGTGTGCAACTTGTTATGGAAGGGGTTTAATCGCTCATAAAGATGGTTCTGACTCAATGTAAGTAATTTGTTTGTTCATATAATAGATCAATGTTGAATTGAACCAGAAGTCAAATGTCTTGGCCTCATTGGTTTCTGTCAAGGTGGAGGTTTATACTTGTAATTCACTTAAGTTACATTTTCTTGCAGATGTGTGAAATGTAAAGGCGAGGGAAAAATTCCTTGTGTGACTTGTGGATCACGTGGACTAATTAAGTGTGCAACATGTAATGGAATTGGTTCTCTTCTAGCACGAAATATAGCCATTATTAGATGGTATGTCAATCTGGCTGTGCCTAATCATACCTTGCCTAATTTTGTACCTTTAAGAGCTATGAGGAGTACAATGGTAAAATATTACCCAAACTAGTACATAATTATAATATATTATCTGGAGTAGTTACTTTAGCAGGCACCAGTTTTTATGATTTATGTGCTTTAGTTGGTATTAATTTAAACTAGTGTGATATGCATTAAAAAGGTCTCTGTAGAATGAACTCCATCACTACTTATTATGAACCGTTTTATGATTTATCTGTAACTGTGGCAGAATAATACAATCATGCATTTATTAGCTCTATAGTCCCCTGCCTCCACCTTTTTTTTTTCCCCCAAAAGGATGCTATTGATATAAAGAAAGGACAAGTAAAATAAGGTTTATGTAATTTAATCATCCATTTTAAAGCTGAAGTTGGCTTCAATGGTTTGAAATAAAAAATTTCTGTTTGTTGTGGGTGAATTTTAAAAGTATGATTGATTGATAATTAGAAGAGAAAAATGTAAAGATTAAGATGTGTTAAGATAAGAAAAGCTGAAGAAGAGCTTTGAATTGTTTTGATAGGAACGTTATCTAACATGATTTTGAGATCCATTCAACGTACAGAATCTAATCGTGAAGAGTAGTAGCAGAGGTTCTCATGATGGTTTGAAGTTGAACTTGTTTGAAATAAAGAAAATGTCCTAATAAAATTCAAGCCAAAACACAAAAGATGATAGAAAGTAGGAAATCAATAGAATAAATAATATGACCGGGGTTTGTAGAAAATGGATCATTATATGTAGTGGAATGGTCATTCTGTATCCATGTTAAAGATTATGTACTGTTTAGAGTGGTCAATCCAAAATTTAGTTAGGGACCAAGGCCTGTGTTACAATTTGTTGTTATAGAATCACTGTTCAATCATTGTGCTGAAATGTGTTGGGTTTTTGTGAGGAGATTATCACTAGGTCAGGGTTCACCTATGGGATACAAAGATAATTATATAAGAAAATATGACTCTATTTTTAACTTGAAACCTTAAAAACCTTCCAGTTTTAAATTTGTGCATTTTTTTCTATTTATAAATTATTCAACTTTCTTATTTTTATTCAATGTAGGACTCTAAGTCACACTTAAATTCCACCACTCCCTTTTCAAGTGTAAATCCTTACACATTGGAACACTTCCCTCCAACACTCCTACCCATTTTGAACTCAATTGAATCAGTCTTGACTCTGACACTGTTATTGGATTTTTGTAAGAGAGTTATCATTAGACCAGTGTTTACTTGTGGCAAACTAAAGAAAATCATATAAGAAAATATGACTTTATCTTTAATCTAAAACCTTAAGACTTTAGTAGATTTGTGTGTATTTTCCACTTATAAGTTATTTAAAATTTCTCATTTATACTTATACTCAATATAAGATTCTAGCTCATACTTGATTTCCAACAAAATGTCATACTTGACCTCTAATCTAATCTCGTTTAAGAGATTCATTGACAATCAATTTCATGTTGTTATGCATAATAATATTCATTCTTTTCACTGACAATTCTAAACGAACCAGTGTCTGTGTTTGCGCTGTTACAGGAGGACTCTTTCAACTCGAAAAGTAAATGCAACTAGTGGAGCTGCATCAGTACCAGATGAGGTTTTCCATCGATCCAAAGGGGTTGAATTGTGCAACACTCAGGCGCACCAATGCACTCCAGCCTTTTTTGCTGATTCTTATTTTCTCAACAAGTTCTCTTCTGATGTCATTGCTGAAAGAGCGCAAGTACCTGCCACTGCAAGGGTCATATGTGAGAGGCACACAATCTCAGTTGTGCCAGTAACTCGTGTAACCATGTCTCATCGTCGGCAATCCTTCAGTTTCTATATCATAGAATATGGCAGGGAGGTGTATCTTAAGGATTATTACCCTGCTAGGTACTGTTGGGGCTTGTGTCCTTGTTTGGAGTGGTTGAAGTTCTAATATTAGAAACTTTTCATCCTGGCAGCATTGAGCGGTATACAGGTTCCATCTACACTATTACGAGTTCTGTGTTTGTTTGTTCAGTTTGATAATAACAGAAGCAGATTACTGGGTTTGATGGGTGTGGAGATGAACAGTGAATAATCAATCTTTTTTGGCCATTGAGTGTTAAATAAATCTTTTTAAGTACTTGGTTTGATTATAATTTTCAGCTTATGACCTGTAATTTATATATTTCATAAAAAATCGTCATAGCTTGTTTTATTAAAGCTTCAATCTTTGCTTCATTCCTTTTTTTCTCGTCTCCATTGAATGGAAGTAGTAATAGCAGTTTCAAGTCTGAAATACAAGTCCTCCAAATGATATATGCTGCAGAGATGCTGTGAAAGGAAAATCAAGTTAGCGAATACTCAGTACATGTTTGTTTGTATCGTCAACGTTTTATGAATCAAATCAATCGATAATGTTAATTTCAAGAGCACGTGTTTGTCTTGCTTCTTAGTTTAAATATGTCTTTAGTTGATATAAAATGTAAGTTTTGATTTAATTTTTTATAATAATTTATTTATTTATTTATTATTCTGTTATAATTTGAAATATCTATTTTTAATCCTTAAAAAAAGTGAATTTTATTTATACTCTTCTGAAAAAAAAAAAAAACCCTTCAAATTTAAAAAAAAAATTATTTGCATTTTTTAAATTTTATTTTAAAATAATAAGATTTATTTGCCGAATTTTGAAGTTTTATTGTAAGTATCATATGTTTAATGCGTTATTTTTCTTTACTCATTAAGCTACATATTAGTAGAGATAGAAAAAAAAATTCAATTTTGGAAGAACAAAGATAGAGAAATTCTTTATAGTAATTAAAATTAAAACTCACTTATTTTAGATAAAGTAAAAATATATTTCAAACATTTTTTATAATATTATATTGGATATGAAAACTTAAAAATAAACAAACACCTATTTAAGAACAAACTGAATTCAACACAAAAGAAAGAAAAAACAACATAGCATTTTAAAAAGTATTTTAATAATTTTTAAAATGCGATTCAAGTCAAATTAATTTTTAACTTTACAAACGTATTTAATAAATAATATTTTATTTTATAAATTAAATTATATAATTTGAAGAGTAATTCATTCTATCATTCATTCAGGCTTTTTTTTTCTTTTTTTTATTCAGGAAGTATACTTCTACCATTATCTCTATGCCAAAAATATATCTCTTATTCGTATGTTTATTTATTTTAAACTTTTTATTTGTATAAATCATTTTATTTTATCTCTATTTCACTGTCCATAAAAAAAATTTAAAACTTTATATTAGTTTAAAAAAATGTCCAAAGATTAAAATAATTTGAAAAATCAAAATTTTGTTTGAGAGATTTACTCCCAATTCTACTTAAACTAATGTAATGATGGTATTTATTTTTTTTATTATAATTACCAATATAAATATAATTTAATACTAATTATAAGCCCAACTTCTGGCCGAGAAGAAAACGGGAAAATGAACACATCATCAGGCTGCAAACAAAACCCTAGGGTTCTACGCGGTTCTTTAAATTCTCACAACGCTCACGCCGCAGTTAAATAGTTACACTTGAAACCTCTTCCATTTGATTCGAATAATCAAATCTGAGGTTGAAACCTGCGATTCGGTCTTTTAGATTTCAATCACCTTCAAAGTTCGTTGTTCGGCATCTGTTTTGCGAGCATCAGTGATGAGTAATTCCAATATGTTATCCTTGCACTATGATTGCCTGTGAAGAAGCTAATGGGGAATAGTTACTCTGAGATGCTCTTTCTTAAAACTCCACGCTCTTCTTCTTTTATTTTTCAAAATTATGTCATTTTTTTTATCAATCCACACGCGACAAATTGATTATTTTATTAGTTTAGTTGGTTTGATTTATGGATCCGTGATGTTAATTTTAAACTGCGTTATCTATCTGAAACTTCCTACAGGATTTGAAGATAACTAATACTTGCTGAGATCCATTGTTGTTCTTATTGGATTTTTTATTTTTTTTTTAAGAACGCCATTATTTCAATGCGATATGAATCTATAGAATGGAGCTAAAAATAATCATTTGCACATATTAATGCATTTTGTTTGTTTGATCTTAGTGGTATGATTTCTTCCACTAGTGTAGAGGATCGGGCTAAGGTTTTAAGTCGTGGATATCTGCATGATGTGGTCACAATTGCGTAACACTCCAAAAGCTATGAAGTTGTGACCGAAATCACATTTGCACATCATTTTTTGAAGGCTTTGATGTTATTAATATTTATTGTTTGTATAAGCTATGGTTTTTCTCAGGTTCAGGGTTCTGTTATGCATTTTGTATTTGCTCTATTTCAATATTGATGGGTATGTCTTGGTTCTTCACAAAACCTAATTTATTTGAAGCATGTGTATAATGGGAAATGTATGGGATCTATGATGGCGTTATGAGACTGCGTTATCTATCTGTAGTTTCTTCAAAAGAACTGAAGATAATCGTATTCTACTGAGATCATTCTTGGCTTGTAGTTCCTTTAATTCACTGTTCGTGCTAAGGTCACCGTTTATCTTCAACTTCCATCCTCTTTCATTATGATCAATAATAAATTTTATAGATTTTTTTATCAAATTTATCATTTTGCAAGTTCCAGGCGAGATTCAAATCTAATTGCTTATAAATTAGGCAAAAGAAATTATCCTAATAGGCTTGTTAACAAGGCAAAATAAAAATTTAAAATTGCTCAAACACGTGAAATATTTGAAATGTGAAAAGTTATTGAAGTTAATGTTTATATTGATTACAATACTTATCTCATCTTTCTTGTCCAAACAGGAAGAATTGGGATAGAACAAAAAAAATCTGACTAGTAACTAACTGTACTCGATTTCCTGGCCAAACTGGTTGTGCACAAAATTTACACCACCATAAAAACACGCCCATCTCAGTCAATGATTTTGGGTCCTACTCATAGCGAATAGTAAGGACAGTTTTCTTTCATCCAAGCATGGATTCACTTTTAAGCCATTTTGTTTCACAATTTTAATATATCCTTCTCTCTCGATGATACTAATGATATCGAATGCAAGCCTTAGTCCAGAATAACAAAATTTGCATCTGATGCTTTGACAACTTTTATGGCCAAGTTTTGTCAATTATACACTACATTTGTTTTTTAGGGATGGTTTTCAATCAGGGTTAGGTTGCGCTTACCTTGTGAGCCGTAGAGCATAGGTTTGATCACAGTCACTTCACTTGTAATGAGGGTAATGAAAAATGTCCACGCAATGAATATGCCCCTTGATTTGCCCCTTACAGAAGAAAAATGTGATAACCACATAATGAATATGCCCCATGATTTGCCACAAGCAATGAACTGAAGCAACAATTACTACCACAATCATCTAACTACTGACTGATCAACACCTAATAACACGTGGTAATAATAATACCGTAGTTTATCATATTCAATGCCCTGCCCAGTTTTTTTCTCTCGACAAGAATATAACTGTTATTCTTGTTCTCTATTTCAGAAAAAACTGAAGACATTGAATACATGTATTCATATATTGCAAGTAAAGAGAAAGTAATGCTGGCAATAGAGACGTCTCAGTTACAAAAAATAAAATAGTTATCACGAAATGCTTACAGAGGACACAATCATTGATGTGTGATCTATCAGAAATTACTTCTGTGAAGCATTACAAGATTAAGATTATTTGAGAAATCATAAGCACACATACACTTTTTCAAGACAATTTCATAATATATAAAAATGTGATACAAACGGTTGACAGAGGAATAGGAAACTATTTCTCAATAATTATAACAAACTTTACTTCAGGCCTCGTAAGCTTCAGCTGGTAGACAAATTATATTCATCAATGCTGCCATTTTAAAACCTATTTCCATTCCCATTAATTTACCAGAGGATAAGAGTCAGGACAAGGTTGGTTACTATATTCTGCAGTTATCCAATGAGATCGAACCATGGCAAACAGAAAGATTCATAGTAAATAATAGCAAATAATAATAAAAAATAAGAAGAAAAAGTTGTTTTTGTGTTCTTGACAACTTCTACTCATGAAAACATCATATATAACTAACAAGAACATACCTTAATAACAGTTTTATCACAAGAAATATAAACTATTCTGGGTAAGCAAGCATACAAAGCAAATGGTATGGATAGGCTTAGCTTATCCCTGAGGAATTTACTAAACCATTTTTAAGCAATAAAATATTCCATAAGTAAACTAGATGAAGTTCACGTCATTAATACAAGTATCTGCTGCATTAGCACATTACGTGCTTGTAGAAACATTCAGCCGATTGCAGAGAGCCAGGGAATAGATGCCTAAAAAGTATATACCAACCTATATAGCATTAACTGCTTGAATATTAATGAAAGGTTGCAGAGTGCACAAACACATCAAACTACCAGTCAAATTGTCAATGACACAGCTACAAGTTTCTGTTACCTCTCAAAAGGTTTAACACAAAATCAATAAAGAAAAGGGGATAAAAAAGGTTCCAGTCATATGAGAAACCTGAAACGAGAGAATTGATCCAATTCTGAATGTTCTACTTTTCTTCCATGGTTTCCCTTTTGTGGAAGCCGTGCTTCTCACTCCTCAGAGAATTTAATTTCTTTTTTTTTTTAACGTTTAATCTTATCATAGAAAATGGGAAATAATATTATTAAATAAAAAAGGGAGGAGTTACAGAATGATTGCCACTTTACAAAATAATATTATTAAATAAAAAAATACTCATCTACATTAAGAAAACCAACAAAGAAGATGGTATGTATGATATATATCCATACACTATCAGCCTTCATTCATTATGTATAGACGGTAAATTATTTTTCTCTTATTTTAGTTTGTTACAGTAAACAGTGACAGAAGTATCAAGCAGATATCACGTTGTTACAAGTAGCCAGCCAATATTCAACATACAGAATGATTATGGTTATTCGTCGTCTTCTTCCAACAAAATCTCTGTCAAAATCATATAATAAATTAGTAACAGATTTGGACATTTGATCATGATTCAGGAAAAAAAAAGTAAGACATGTAATTCTTAATACAGAGTTAGATCTGGATCTCAATTTGCTCAAAAATAGATAATAACACAAGTAAATAAAGTAGTTCTTTACCAAACTACAATAAAGCAAAACCTGAATACAAGAAACACTGATTTACAACGCAAGCATCCAACTAGATCCCTCCTGTAGATCTACTCCTTAGCATCTTTGATGGTTTTATCTACAACAATGTTCACTTTCTTGTACTCAAAATCTACAGGCTGCATAGCATACTCCTCCGGCACCACTGGTCGTTTATTACCAAAGATGGTCCACAAATAGAGCACAATGAATGCTGTCAATGCCCCACATCCAGCACCAAATATCATTGCAGCAAGAACCCTCAAAAGGCAATCACTCCTAGATTTCACTGCAGGAGTTTCAGTGTTCTTAGAAAGGACCTTTGGATTCAGAGGTTCAGAATGCATCCAGTGTGGAAAGTGCCTCACAATAAAGCTCCATGAATAGAGAAAACATGCTTGAGAACTATTCCCTTTCAGTGTACTAAACCCTGCGAACATCTCTTCAGTCCCCCAAACATTCGACAAGTCAATTGAATACCAAAGCAATGGATCAGATGGCCTTGATTGACCATAGTGATTCAACCTAACTTCTAACCGCTTTGAACTCGCTTCATAATCAATCCAAGCATGCAGTTTACCCTCACTGTTTAGACCCATAGTGACAGATGAGGCATTGATTGTCTTAACAGGAACAGAACTACCTACATTAATGGACACAACACAACTACCAGAACTCCCATTCCTACCGTCAACACTAAACTGAACACCAACAACCTTAAATTCCCTTTCCTTCAATCCAAAAGAAAACCCATATGAACTATTACCAAAAACCTCACCTGCAACACCACTTGGAACCATCACAAAAGCCAAGCTATCCTTTCCACTATCCAAGGACATTGAAAACCCAAAGTAGGTTGAAAATGAGACCAATTCCCTTGCTCCACCATGAACAAGCTTGATGGGCTTCTTGTACATGACTCTCCCACCATTCCCAGAAAGAAGGACTTCAGCACCTCCATTGACAACTTTTGCATTGCCATAAAGCTCTACACTTGACTTGAACTTTGGATCTTTCTCAAAATCTGTGAAGGAAAAGGAAGAAACTGGATCAAAAGATTGGGTTTTGAGGAACAAGACGAGGAAGGTGAAGGCTGCGAAGTGGTGGGAAATGGAAAATGGTGCCATAATTGAAGTGGGCATGAACTAAATCTCGAAGGGTGTGGTTCTAGTGTTGGTGGGTCGATCCCATTTGCATCAAAAGGGGATTTTGCTGTTTCTAGGGTTTGAGAGGGAAGAAGACGGAGGAAGAAAGTAAAGAATAATGGGTAAGTTGTTGGAATTGGAGGTTGTGAAAATTAAATACGGTTTAACTGGTTCCCTGCAACTGCATCTGCAGTGAGCACTTCACTTTCACTTTCTCTCAGTAGTAGTAGGGGTAGCTGAAACTAGGGAATATAATAATAAATGTTCTTTTAACTTTTTCTATCAGATATTATCTATCTTTCAAAAAGAATTATAATACTTGTTTTCTTTGACAGAATTTTTATAATACTAGTTAACAAAGCTTGAATGATTAAAATATTATTGAGGTTTGTTTTTAATATCTTATGCTTTTTTTTTTTATCTTGCAATAAATAGTGTTTGCTCGTGGCAGACAAGCCTTTCTTGATTAAAGAAAAAATAAATTGTTGTAGGAAATGCAATTCTTTTATTCAACAAATCAGTATATTAACTTTTTTTTTTGTTTTGTTTTGGTACCAAATATGATTTTGAAGGAAAAAAGTTCTATTTTTTAAAGGCAAAAGGTGGTACAATTTTATAGTATTGCATATTGAAAATTAGGTTTATCTTTTTACCTTCCATTAACTGAATTGGTTAGTTAGTGATATGTCAATTTTGGTAAAGCAAAAATAGCAAGAAATCTTGTATACCAATAGTAACACTCATTTTCTAAATAATTTAAAAAAAAAACACTAATTCTTTTTGAAAAGGAAAGGCGAAGAAGATCATAGTTGGTAGTAGTAGCTTTCATGTCTTAAAAGGGTAACATTCGCATTTTACTTTCATTCAATTATTGTGTTTTTCCCTCTATTATGGTTAACTATTAAATTGCATGTATTGTTTATTTAGCACACCCTGACTCAGTAATAAATACACTCGAATAATAATAAATAATAATAATAATAATAAAAACATGACTACCAAGAGAAATTAAGAAGAAAGGATGTTTGAGAGTTGAAGTTAAATTGCTTCACATGATATGAAGGATCCATGTCACGAATAATGTTGTTTACAGTATCCGAATAAATGTTGTTGACACTTCTTTCTTACATATTTAAATCAAACACAATAACATTTGTGATTTTATTTCGGATTAATTCTACTTTTAATAATTTGAGGGTCTTAACAGGAAGATTTTGTTTTTTCATATTTTAATTTAGCGAATTAGTTTTTTCTTAAATGTCATTATTGTGTAGTTTTTTTAATCAAACATTAGATTATCACAAATCGATTGTTTAGGATTATATTGTTTCAAACTTATTATTATGATTTAGTTACTTTCTTTTTACCAAATATTAAAAAAAATAATAATAATAATAATAAGACACATCATCATACCTTATATATTAAAAAACGGAAATTTGAGTAATTTATTTCTCCGATATTAAATTATATAAATAAATTAGTAAACCTAAAACAAAATAAACATAATAAAACCTTGATATATATATATATATATATATATATATATATATATATATATATATATATATATATATATATATATATATATATATATATATATATATAGATGTCAGCAGAAATAACAATTCTAGTTTTAAAATGTTTTTTAAGGTTCTTTAGTTTATAAAAAAATATATATACAAAAGATGTTAATGAAAATTACAATTGTAATGTTTTTAATAATTGACAAGGGTGTACTTTTGAACTATTTTCATTTTTAAATATCAATACCGAAATTTGGTAGTTATAATTTAATAAAGAATATTATAAAGCAATAAATAAAATTGTTAGATGTATTGAAGTATATTCCATAATTTTAATAAAATGTTTATAATATATTTTAAAATTTTAAATTTGAAAAATAATTTCTAATTCCTTTTTAGTTTTAATTTTAATTTTTCAGTAGTTTGTTTTATATATAGTAATCCAACAAACACAATAAGTGAAATTTGGAAATATTTTCTATTTTTAAAGTAAACTTTTTTTCTTTATATATGATTCATTTTATCTCTTTTGATTGGTCAAAAATAAAACAAAGTATAGGGATAAAAAAATAAATTATCTTGCGTGCAAAATAAAAATAAAAAATTAACTTTAAATATTATTATTATTATTATTTATTAAATAAAATCATTAAAATAGTTTTAAAATTATTTTATGATTCAATTTATTATTTAATTAAGATAATTCATATTTATTTTTATATTATATGTTTATTGTCCATTTCCTTTTATTTAGAACTGAATTACGTGTTGCATCAGTAGAATGACTTATGATATATTCTAAATACTATATATATTTAAAAATACGTGTTCAAATAATTATATGTATTTAAGATGAAATTTTTAGTAAACTATTTTAATGAACTATATAATATCTTATATATTTCAATTTTAATAATAATCTAAAAAAGTAACAATTAATAATATTAATCTTAAAAAATATACATATTACTAATATAATTGTCAAATTATACATTAAAACAAGCTTCAAAATTCTATCCATTAGAACAAAATTTAATTTCTTACGCAGAAGCATGCTGTTTTGAAATTGAAATCGGATATAAACGTCAAAATGTAAAAAATAAAAAAAAAAAACCGTAAGATTATGACATGTACGGGGAGTATCAATACTTTTTTTTTTACAAGTATCTATACTTGTCTTCTCCTCAAAGCGATAACCACCTTTTTTTAAAAGTAAGTTTTTTTTTATTTCTTTTTATGGCAATGTAGAAAAAGTTGTGCGTGGGTGACAAGTGGCAGAGTGAGAATTCCCACTTTTGGGGACCATATATAAGCAAATTTATTTACACATTGTATAGTAAGAGTTTATTATATAAATAAAATCTTACACAACTATTTCAATATAATTAATGGGTTATGTTAAAAAGAAAATGTTCTTATTTTAGTATTACTTAAAAGATACCTCAATAACATTAGTATTACATATATATAATACCAATATTGTAAATTCAAGAAAAAAAAAAGATTATAAAGGATTGAGTGTAACTAATGGAGCGAAGAGGAGTCAGAATGAATCCAACGATGGAGAAAGCGACAGTGATTGTGGTGTGTGTGTGTGTGTGGTGGTGTCCACTTGGGCATTGGCAAGGCAATGCCAGCTAAGCAAACTCATCAATTTCAAAAATAAGTGACTTTGCATACTACGCGTGCTGTCTTTGTCTTCTTCCCACACCCAACACATGCAACACAACGCAACACAATTTGGATCCTTTAGATTTCATTCAACAAAATATATAGCAACAATTTTAGAATTATTTTCCAGACAAAACTTGGATACTAGTATAGATACTGTATATGTAATGGAACAACGTGGGATTTTTTTCTTTTTGATTGTTATCCATAAATTACAAGTAAAAACGTTAGTATTTTAGAAAATATATGTATAGGAATATTATATTTAATTATTGACCTTTTTTGTTTAGCTTCCTTCCTATAGCGTGAAATTAGATCTCTTAATTATGATAAGATTAGAGAAAATATGTATAAGGAATTTCTGATGTATATGGTGGCTATATCAAATCTTTCCACTGTTGTCTTAATCTTTTTATTATCTTGTTAAATTTTTTCATTAATGTGAACTTATCTATACTGAATTAAGAGTCATTTAATATATGAGAAGTTTCTCCCAAATAAATAGTGTTTGTATTTTTTTTAAAATCAATTGTGAAATGCAAAAATACATAGTTAGCTCATAATAATCAAAATAAAACTCAAATTGTAATCGAAGGAATTTCATAATAATTCTTATGATATTTCATCTAAGTTTTTACTCTCTTTTTTATTATATTACTTTAATTATAATTTGGAGATTTTTTTAGCAAAGAAAAAATTTTCGTTTATAAAATTTAAGATTATATTAATTAGTTTTATTAATTATATTTGTACTATTTTAATCATATTTATTATCGAGAAAAAATAGTAAAATATCGTGAGTGATTTGCAACACCTAAAAAAAATCAAAATAATAAAATCACTAAAAAAATTAATAAATTTATTTAAAATCATGAAAGTTAATATATATATATATATATATATATATATATATATATATATATATATATATATATTGCTAACAAAAATATGGCTTCAAAATGACAAAAAGAATAAATCAAATTATGTTGTTGAATTGATGATATATTGGTTTAACTAATGACTTATTAATCCAATATCATAAGTTGATTATATTTGTAAGTATAATAATACAGAGTAATATCTCTCTAATTAGCAAGACTAAATATTGTTTTTATCTAGCTAATTGGTGTGAAAATCCATTACTCTATTTCTTAGCAAAATAACTTACTTCCTCCCACTTGTTTTTATTATTTAACATTATAATATAAAATATAAGATTATCATGATAATACATTTGGAACGAAATGAAAGTTAAGTCGTAAGTTGAAATGTCCTATTAATAAATTAATAATTGATATTTGTCGATAAATAAATTTATTGAACATTATAGGGTTCGTAATGCAATCCCAAATAATATATATTTTTTAAAAAATTTGTATTATTGGTTAAAATGTATAGGAATGACAAAATCATGAATAATGTTGATCAAATTAAATAAGTAAGATTTACAAAGTTTTATATTTCAATAAATTTCAACTAATATTAAATTATATAATTATAAAAAAAGTGTTTTAAAATATATGGTAGAGTATTTTGCAAAGCATTTTTATTTCAAAATAATTATTACTTCGCAACTTGGGATGAAGTATTATTTTTTCTCAAATTATTTAAAGAGACCCAGATTAGTTACAAAGTATTCGACAATTTTCTTTAGACATATATTTGTGCCAATATATGTGATATATAAACCTAGTATTTTAGTTTGCCATGTACATAAATAAAATTGCTTATTTTTCAATAAATAGAGAAAGTGTCACGCGAAACTTCAACTTCATCTGTATCAAATTATGGTATAGCTTCTCCAGTTACCACCCGTATAATGTTAACATCATCACAATCCATGAAAAATATTGTTATATGTAATCACAAGATGACACTCATATCTCTTAATAGGTTAACAAATCATAGTCAATAACGACAATATCAAACCACATTCATTACTGCTTTTACTTTAAATTTACATTATTCAAATATTATCTTTGGTCAATGTTGAGTTTGAATTTTTTCAAACACTAAAATCTGTTAACTTTTAAGGAATTAAAGACATGACTAACCCTATATTTTAAGTCAAATGTTGGGGAATGGAGCTCCTTCTTTGCTGTAACATTTGTTTTTTCTCATCCACACTCACTACCTAACTACATCTATGGTGGTTAGAGGTGTAAGTAATTAAGTAGTGAAAATGAGAGACTGTAGTGATAAATTACAGAAGGCTAATAAAGCACCACATAACTGGATTTGCAAGAAAGTTGGTCTCAGTTTGTCCCTGCTGCTTATGTTATTTCACTTTCACAGTGTTATCTTGCCATTGTGTTTCATCTTCCATAAGATAATGTTAGCATTCGAGCAACAAGGTTTCCACCAAAGGTTAAAAGCATGCAAATAAGTTTTGAGTTCTTGGACCACTATAAAGTAGTTGTGCTCTCTAGTACAGGTCATAGCACTCCTTACAATGCCTTCTTCAAAAGCATTGCTAAATTGCTAAGTTATTTTGTTCTAGATGGATAAAAATTTCCAACAAAACGTTTTCTTTTGGGTCACCACTGGTTGTTCTTTGAACATATTAAATCCAACACGATAAAAAGGAACACAAAAAGATGATGACAACAATTATAAAAACCGCTTTTTTTTAATACAATAAATTGCAGTGCATCAAATAAAAATGAATCTGGCTATAGTAAAAGGGAAAGGTGAACAAATTTCAAGAGTTGGGCATGTTATCCATAATTGTAGGACTGTGACGAGGATTTTTGGATTTACTTGTCTTGAAGATAAATCTGATATTTATTATTCATATGACAGTGTAACTTTAGGATAGAATAGAATTTCTTGACATGATATCAATGTTTCACTGATGACAATTGGTCGGTGATTTGATTATTGGTGCCTCTTTTGTCCTTTTCATTAAATTTCAATATGAAGTAGTGGAGGGAGGAGAGGAGGACCTTGTTTTCGTCCATATTTGAAATTCATAATTATTTTGCTAGGGTGCTTAGTAGAAATCAATTCCTGATCAGTTTATAATGAGCAAAAATTCTACCGTCATCATTCACGATGTGTAGAAATTAATATTGTGGGCATAAGGAAAGTAGTATGGTTTGGATAAGAGAAAATGTAAATGTTTTGAACGCCATGGATCTTACAAAATTTAGATGTTGATTATGATTAATTGTTTATGAGAAGAGTTTCAAAGTTGTTAATAGTCTATGAATCCTGTGATATGCATTAATACCTAGATGTAGGAGTGAATTTGTATACTCCGAATGTATATTTATTTGATGATAAAAAATGAATATCTAAGGCAATGCATGTCTAGGTCTTCTAAGTGTCCAATATAATTATAAGAACTTATAGTTTGAGCATAAAGCATGTACATATAAATTTTACCCACATTCTAAATACCAAGATATAGGTTCATACATGCCCAAGTAGGAAATCTTTGTCGTTCAATACAAAATGTTGTTCTGTAATAGATTATGAATCATGCACACCGTGATTTAACACATGGTAAACAACTTATTTTATTTGATCAACTGACAACCTTTAATTTATTCAAGTATTTTCTATTAGAATGGTATTCAGCATTTTAGTTTGTGCCTTGGATAATATAGGGTAGGACTTTCTACCTTTAAATTCAGAACAATCTCCTGTTGGAGACTAAAAGCCTTGAAGGATCACCTTTTATGAAAAGCTTTTCCTGGTTTGCTTTTCATTTACTCAGGTAAGCATATTATCCTTCACAATTCGATTTTTAGTAGAAGAGTGGTTCATTTGTCAACTTTAGGAGTTGTTGCAGCACCATTAGCGTGGAATTTGAGTCTTTATGTTTCAGTCTATGGCACACCTATACAGAAAATTTGCTATAGAACTTTGTCCAAGGAAGTTAGACTTTCGATTTGGATATGGTTCCTACATGAGATCTTTAACCTAGTTTTAAGCTTTTTGCTTGTTAATATTATGCCCGTAAGATTAATTGCTGATTTCTTCTGCTCATATCGCCCAACTGTACGCAAAACTATATTTTCTTATGCTCATAAGATTAATTTGCTGAATCTGATTTCAGGATTTATAATCCAAGGACATGAGGTATAGTTAAATGCAGATATTTAGTTAATAGTTTTTTGACATTACTGAAAGGAAATACCAACAATAGCTATGACTACTCATTCCTTGTTTTGATACTGAGCTGGTTTAGCCACATTGTTTACTCCAAGTAAGTTTAATTTCACTCAACCACAGTTCTGATTTAACAAGTTAGAGCGTATTCTAGTAACCACTTATAAAGAGAAATTAAGTTTTACCAAAGGGTTGACAATAACTTTTGCTTAATAAAATGACAAGAGTCTTAAAATAATTCGATACCTCGGATCCACCCACACCTTTGATGCCCTTTTTTCAACGTTGGGAACCATGCAAACACTATGGTGGCGTCATGGGAGTATCTGAGCTACGATGTTGAGGTGCCTAAATAAGACTTTTATTGCACAAACTAGCTAGTGTCCCTTAGTACATACGATTTTCATACACCGTATATATAACTAGTTAACTTATCACACCTAGACCAAACAAGCAAGATACTGATGTTTTTAGACATACAGGATAAAATGTTACACATTTCCAATTTTACAAAACCTGCAGAACTTGTCCTTGACAAAGTAGTAGCACTTCAGGCTCACCAGTTTTGCATAGTAAAAGCATGCTTGACTCAAGTAAGGATTAATGTGCAAAGCTACTGCAGTTACCAACCAAAATGATGTGTATGACGCGGCAAAGGTCACACAAAAAATAAACATGTCCACCCAACTACCACTCTCTCCGTCACTGTCCGAGTCATTTGAGATAATAACAGATGAAGGATTGCAACTTTTTGTCAGTGGAGGTCCACAAAGTAACGGATTACCCCTGAAGCAGGTTTCTTTAAACGTCATAAATTGTCCTTTTCTTTCAGGAATTGCGCCAGACAAGTTATTGTAAGCTACACTGAATGAAGAAAGGGAGGTTAATTCATTCAACTGTGGAGGAATTTGGCCACTCAACTTGTTAAATGAAAGATCCAAAGTCTCTGTTTGTAGCAAATTGGAGAATGTAGTTGGAATATGCCCCGTCAAATCATTATGCGACAAGTTCAATGATAAAATTCCTTTCAAGTTTCCAAGCTCAGATGGGATATTCCCCTGAAGTTTATTGTGGGATAAGTCAATTGCAGACATGACAGCAAGGACAATCCCTATGTAACTGTCAGTTCTCCCCTTTGTAGTGAAATTTACTTGCACATTTGGCAACTGTCTGTAAAATCTTGAATTTGGCTCACGATGAATGGTGCCATAAGTCTTTCTTCGACTCTGAGCGTTTGCATTCTCGAAAGGCATTTCACCCAAGCATTTGGGTATCACACCAGTTAAATTGTTGTGAGAAAGGTCTAGTATGTTTAAGTCTATCAAGTTGCATAACTGCCTTGGTATATCCCCATTGAAGTGATTACCTCCCAATAAAAGAATATTCAAATATGTAGAGTTAAGGTCTTCTACCATATCTTGAATGCTATAGGTTACTTCATTATGGCTAAGGTCTAGCATCTCCAAGGAAGAGCTTCCACGGAACATTCTTTTGGACAATCCACATAAATAATTGTTGTTCAAATGTATAACTTTCACCCAAGAACCTACAAAAGGTGGAACGACACCAATCAAATTATTTTGGGAGAGATCTAGATACATAAGATTTTTAAGTTCTGCCAATTCCGGCGGAATAGATCCTTCAAAATGATTATTGGACATACGAAGTTGCTCCAATCCTGAGATATTTTTAATGAGGCTTGGAATTTTTCCGACCAATTGATTATTGCTTATATCTAATGAAGAGATGTGTCCTGGGGATTGGTGACGAACTCCAAATATGGCCTTTGTTATTTCTCCAGACAATTGATTATGAGAAAGATCAATTGTCTGTAATGAGCTCATGTTGATTAGCTCATGTGGAATTTCTCCTGAGAAACGATTATTTGAGAGATCCAATATTTTCAGTAACTTCATTTGGCCGTATTCACGAGGAATTGGACCATCGATTGCATTTGCAGACATATCTAAAATTTCCAATTTGGGAAAAAATGAACTGATATTGTACCCCATGATTTGACCAGTTATTGTATTGTCAGATACATCCATTTCTTCCAGGTGGAGATGGGGATGAGATGGCAGCTGGAATTGAGTAAAGGAACAATTTTTAAGAACAAGGTTTGTCATTTTTTTGTTGTTTTCCAGCAACCATTTTGGAAACTCTCCCTCAAGTTTCCATCCACTGAAATCCAGATATGTCAAATTGTATTGGTAATGAAGGAAGCTTGGAAGGGGGAGAGAATGGGACTTAGTCGTTGAAGACAAACTGAGGACTTGCAATTGGAATTTCGGAACCCATTTGTCCATAGTAGAGTGTGAGTCCAGTATGACTTTGTTCCCATTGCCATAGATGAACTTAAGAGTTGAATGATTAAAAAAAGGTGTGAATGAAATAGGGACTTCAAATTGATTTCCTTCAAAAGCAAGATATTCTAGGGATGTGAGACTTGCAAGGCTAGAACCAATATTTCCAGTGAAGTAATTATAAGAAAGATCCAACATCTTAAGGGATTGGAAGTTAGCAAAATATGGTTGAAGTGGCCCCTTGAAATTATTGGCGCCTATGTATAATTCCTTCAGCGTCTTAAGCCCGGACCAATCTGAGAAATTATTTTTGGATGAAGGTACTAATTTAGAAGAGATGACAAAATGAAAAAATTATAATGCATTAAAATAAAATAAATATTGAGTGTATGAAACATCAATTGCACATATACCTTGATTGACAAGAAGATTAGTGATATCATTCTGACTGAAATCAAGAATTTCCAAATTGCTTGGTGCCAATCCTGCCAGGGACAAAGAAAGGTTTGACTGACTATACTACCATTGCTACAGAATATTATTCACTAGTTGAACATTGAACTATACAATAAATTTCTTTCTTTAGTTAAGTTAGAGATACGAGTACAGATATATACAAATACAAACAAAGGATTGGAATGCTGAAAAAAAAAAAAAAGTTCATGATAATTTTAGGCACTGACCACTAATGTTCAAAGATCCTTCCAATTGGTTTCTGCTTAAATCAACAGATTTGAGATGTCGAAGGCCGCTTAGAGAAGAAAAGATCTTTTTGCTGAAACTATTTCCACTTAGTCCTAGAAATTGCAGATTGGTTGGCCATGAGAATTCTTCTTTCTCTGCTTGATAGATCCGGTTATTGGTCGTTGTTGGATGACGGCGTAGCATGTATAAGAGTCATAAGAATCATGTTTAAGAAAATATTTCATCAAATCAATGAAAGATGAAAAAACTACCTGAAGACCATAAGTTACTGTCTTCCAACTCGACCATAGCCAAGTCAAGGATCTCCAATGTCCTCAGTTTTGACAAACCTACCCAAATAATTGACCATAGTTAGTTAACTAATCATAAATAAGGAAAGGAAATACTATGAAGGGCAAAGTGTGTCATTACTATGAATTGATTTCGAATTCAATCGACAGAACACTAAAGATAAAGACTTGAGAGATGGAAGGGCACTCAAAGCAGATGCAACGTCATCATCGTCGTCGCTGAATTCGCTCATGGTCAGGTCAAGAACCTCAAGATTTATCAACTGGGAGAATAAGCCTAGAAGAACAACATTGTGTTATGTTGTGAAAGAATGACTACACGTGATTAACAACCAGCTGCTACAAACTAATGCAGTTTTTACAAGCATTCAATTCCCCTAGCGATGCAAGATGTTACTCAGTTCAGTATTACAACTAATGTCACGTTAATGATGTTATTTTTAATCCAACTTCAAATCTCTTCCACGTTGCGCTATTTAAAAAAAAGTACATATCAACTGACCTTGATATGAAGTTGAACTGATCTTGTTGTTTCGTATGTTTAGAACCTTAAGAGATGAAGACTCAAGCACGCATGATAAAATATTGCCAGTACCATAATTATAACCCAAATCCAGGACCTCCAGATTATTTAGTCCTGACGCTGCAAGTCACAAGAGGAGACTGAAATTAACAGACATGCATATTTCTACCATCTTTTGATTTATTCTAAATTATTCAATAATTCTTATAAAATACGCGTATACTGCATGCATCAAAACTTTAAAATACAATACGCTATTTCATTCTGTTAAAGAAAAGGATGGAACCTTCGGTTTCAACGCAACTAGATATGTCGTTGAAAGACAAGTTGAGATTCTTCATGTCTTCAAACGCAAGAAAATGGGAGTAATTTAGAAGCCATAATCCAGGATTATAATGACTTCCATTAGAAAGATCAAGTTTCACCACTCGTCTTGTGGTGGAGTTACACTCAACCCTATCCCATTTGCAACAGTCGATGCTGTCTACCCAAGGTAAACTGTTGTGGAAGTAGGCACCATTGATATTAATGAGAGCTTCTTTCTCGTGCTTCCAACACCCTTCACAACACAACACTCTCAGTAAAACCAAAATCAACGAATACGTGAATACACTACTCTTTTTCATTGTTGTCTATGCGTTTTTTCATATATGAATTGGAGTTAATATATAAGTAAGGTCGTACCTACCATCTTGTAACTCTCAATGATTGGAACAGTTACGAAGTGGCACCACATGAAGCTTCAAGAAGTTGTTTTTTACCCAATCATGTAGTATTGTTGGAAAATATTTTTACATTTCATAATTTAAGATCTAAAGTAACAATATATTTTTAAAATAATAAAATTTACCCACCACCTTTTAATTTCTTTTATTTAGGGATTTTATTTTATTTTACTAAATCAGGTTTTAGTTTTTTTTATCATTGTATTTTAAATGTTAACAAGAAAATTTGGAAGCGCGTTAACTATTTCACAGAGAAATGCGTATCATTGTTCCAAAACACCTTCATTCATAACGTTTTCTTCTTAAGATCAATGTTTATCGCGCTTCAATCTAGATGAAGTTAAACCTTATTCTTTATAATATTTATTATTATAATATTATTTAATAAAAAAATTTAATGTTCTAATTTTCTATATTAAAATTTTATCTTACAGTATTCACCTCAAACTTTGTATGAGAAAAAAGTTGACCGAACGTAGACTTGTTTCTATTATAAAAAATTGTTTTGATACGTTCACTTCAAAGAGACGCAAGTGATTTTTTACTTTTTCTTTTTCTTTTTTTTTTTAAGATTTGAGATTACACTTGTCATGAAATCGAAATTGAAGGAATCATTTTATCCTAAAAATGATGTCATGATGGGAGGAGACTATAAGTCTTACTTATATATATAAAATATGTAAACCTCACAGACGTGTTATGCGTAGACTCGCTTTTTCTGCTCATAAAGTTGTTTTTTTACTTATCACATTTTACATTGACATAAAGTTGCCTTTTCCTGATTTGATTAATAATAGAGGAAATATAGTATTTACTTCTTTCAATTTTATTTTTTCAAGAAAAATCTAATAGTTTAGTTTCATTTCAATTGTTCTTAAATTTGAATATTGTTTCTCATTAACACCGGGATTTAAATTTTTGGAAAAAATTATTTTGACACAAGCATTTTTACAAATATTCAATATATAACTAATTTTAATATGATAATAATAATTTTAAATTATTTTTATTTTTATTAAATTTTTTTATAATTATTATATTAATAAAAGTAGATTGTATGTTTGTTTATAGGGATTCTGAACGCACCGCTCTAAATTTTTTAGTACTGATTTATTGACACCTGTTATTTATTTATACATGCAATCTATAATTCACTATTATAATATAATAATAATAATAATAATAAATTTAAATTTAAATTTAAAAGGTTTTATCAATATTATATTATTAAAATTAGGTTATAGAATAAATATTTATTAGACGAGAATGTGAACTTTTCATTTTCCTATATTTTTATCTAACCGTCTTCACCTCGAACACTTTGTATGAGAAATGTTGACCGAGCGTAGAATTGTTTCTGTTATAAAACAAAATAATAATAATTGCTTGAATATGATCACTTCAAACATCGAAAGATTTTAAAACAAATGGTACGATACTTTAATTTTTTTATTTGAGATTCGATTTCTTGATTGGACATGAAATCGACATTGAAGCTATCATTTTACTTTATATATAAAATAAAAGATATAACTCCTTCTTAGTCTTCATAACTGAAAATAAAATTATTTTTGTTTTTTTTTTCTCATTTTTTTCTTTTTTTTTAGAAAAAAATCAAGCATATTGTTCACTAAAGATAGAATTACTTTCGTTTGATAAAAAATTATTTTAAGGAAAATTTTTCTTTGCTCCTTTTACCGAGTTGGTTTGCAAATACGATATAGGTTGCGTGTGAATTAGGAAGGCTTGTACGTCATGTTTGTTTTGGATAAAATAAATATTGACTAGTATAAAATGTTAGTGATGTATTTGTTTATGTGAATTTTTGTAACTAATTTAGAATTTTTTATTTTCTTTATATTTTGGAGTTTTGAGAATTTTTCACTTGAAAAAAAAATTAAATAAGATAAAGATTATAATACAAGAGAAGCTATTAATAAAATAATATTCTAAGTTAGATGATTAAAATATGCTGGAGTGATTTGATTATTAAAGTTCAGTTATAATAAATGATATTGGATTACATTATGTTGTATATGGTGAAATTATTTCTAATGTATTATGATTAAGCAAAGTGTATGTAAAATATTATATTAAATGATTTTTTTACAATATTAAGGAAGATGTATTAAGTTTGTTCAATTACACTAAATTTTAACTAAAAATCATACTAGAAAAGTTTTGAGATTAAATTTGGAGTGTAAGAACTCATTTGGTAAATTTTGTACATTTTTTTTATTTTTGCATAATTTGTTTAAAGGAAAACTTGTTATTTAGGTAAAAAGTAAGAGAGGGTAAGGATTTCATTATAGAGTCTTTAAGTAAGAAATTGTCTCAAAAAACTCTTATATAAAATAGAATTGTTTTGACCTAACTTCCCTTGTTTTTCTCCAAAAAAAAAAAAAAAATTGTTCTCTTCCTTATTTTGACTAGAAACAAATAAATATTAGATTTGATTCATTCTTATGCATAGAAATCATCGATATTATCCCTTGAAAGAGCAACGAGTTGAAAGAAGCGGTACAAGTTATTATTGACAAATTTTGGGTCATGTATATATATGATATATAATTTAAATGTGTTAGGTTCATTATTTATTAAGTCAAATAATAAAGTGATCTGACTAAATTAAAAAGTTCGGATAAAGGAATATGTCATGAAAATAAAATTGTGTAGAGACCATAGAGCAATTTCTAATTTAATGAGGGATCAAATTAGAAATACTAAAACTTAAGTAATTAACCTAATTTTGGTTATTTTAAGGGGTCATGATTCACTTCTGGGAGTACAAAGATAGAACATATGTTTCACTTTCGTTCCTTTCTTTCTATCCCCATCAAGAGAGAAAATCAAGAGGGAAATACAGGTGCTCTTCAGGTGGAAGACCATAAGATCAATATAGTGTTCTACAAAGACATCATCATTATGGCTAATTCAGGTACGTTTTCGCATTTAGTTTACAACATGTTTATCAATATGAGATTACTTTTATGTTTGATAGTTAGAATCAAAATCAAGATTATAATTATTAGTTTTCTAACAGCTATACAAGACATGACCGTTGTATTATTAAGGAACCAAAGACCTGAAGGAACTAATGGATCACAAGGTTTAGTTGAATTTAGGAGAAACAAACCTTTGCAATTTTCTGGAGGTTATAACTCAGAAAAGGCTGAATTATGGATTAAAGAATTGGAAAAAATATTTCAAGTTATGAATTGTCCTGATGACCAAAAGGTGAATTATGTTGTGTTTATGTTAATAGGAAATGTTGAATATTGGTGGGATAGTACTAGGAGATTACTAGAAGGAGGAAGAATAATCATTACTTGGGAGGTGTTTATAACAAAATTTTTAGAAAAATATTTTCCCAATGATGTGAGGAGGGCAAAAAAAAATAGAGATTATACAATTAAAGCAAGGAGGTATGACAGTAGGAAAATATGCCTCTAAGTTTGAAGAGTTAGAAAAATACTCTACATTCTTTTATCACCCTAATGAAAGAATGAAGTGTATAAAATTTGAGAATGGACTTGGGCCTAAATTGAGAAAAGCAGTAGAAATACTAGAAATTTTTTATTTTCCTACGCTTATTCATAAATGCAGATTTTTGGAAGATTTTGAAAATCATCAAAATAGTAAACCAAAATATTTTGGACCCAGCATAATAAAAGGAGACAAAACGAAGGAAAACCTTACAATTGCCCCCAAAGGAGATCCCAACCCAGCATATTTTTTGTAGGAAATTTTTATAAACCTGTAAATAGTCAGCTCAAGTGCTTCAAGTGCGGACAGGATTATTATGCTAAAGGTTGTCATCTTAAAGGGCTTGTCTGCTTCAAGTGTGGAAAACCTGGTTATATATTCTTTGAATGTCGGCAACAAAAACCAAATTTTGATCCTTCTACACCAAAAAGAAGACTTCCGACAATAGGAAGAGTGTATACCATGAATGGAACTGAAAACTCTCAGAATAATGATTTGATCCAAGGTATGTGTTTCATTAAAGGCAAAACTTTAAATGTACTGTATGATTCAGGCACAACTCATTCATTTATTTCTAATGATTGTGTCCAACACCTTGAATTGCCGACTTCTTTTCTAGACACTAGTTTGATTGTTTCAACTCCCACAAGTAAGTCTGTAATCACCAATAAAATTTGTCTAGATTGTCCTTTGTTCATTAAAAACAGGAAATTCCTTGTAAATTTAATTTGTCTACCTTTATCTCAATTGGATGTAATCCTGGGTATGGACTGGTTATCTTCCAATCAAGTCCTTCTGAATTGTGCAGAAAAATCTTTTGAATTTCTCTACCAACTCAGTAAATGAGTCTTTGAAGAACAAAATTCAAGGATATTTGTTACTATCTTCTATGGAAGTAAAAGAGGAAGCCAATTTGAAAAAAATAGTAGTTGTTCAAAATTTTCCTGAAGTTTTTTCTAATGATATTCCTGGATTACCACCCAACAGAGAGATTGAATTTTCAATAGATTTAATGCCTAGAACTGGACCAATTTCTATGGCACCATATAGAATTCCACCTTCTGAACTGACAGAACTAAAGAAACAATTGGAAGAATTACTTGGGAAACAATTCATTCATCCTAGTGTATCACCTTGGGGAGCCCCTGTTTTATTAGTTAAGAAGAAAGATGGAAGCTTTAGGTTATGCGTAGATTATCGTCAGTTAAATAAATTCACCATAAAGAATAAATACCTTCTTCCAAGAATAGATTATTTGTTAGATCAATTAAGAGGAGATTCTATATTTTCTAAAATAGATTTAAGATCAGGATATCACCAAATTAGAGTAAAGACAGAAAATGTACAAAAAATTGCATTTAGAACTAGGTATGGTCAATATGAATATCAAGTGATGTTTTTTGGTGTGACCAATGCTCCTGCAATATTCATGGATTATATGAATATGATTTTTCGTCTATTTTTAGATCATTTTATTGTG